CCATTTCTATTACTCTGGGTGACGATCACAAAGCATCGACCCATCTCTAAGGGTTATTCGGATGATGTTCACAAAGCATCAATCCGATTCCCATAACGGCGGGTGATGATCACAAAGCATCATCCAACTATACTACTCTTCTAACTCATTTATTGTAGCATTTTTCAATGCTCTCTACCCTTAGAGTAATTTTACCCACTAAGCTCTCTACTCATAGGGTATTTCTAAACACAAAGTTTCCTACTCTTCCTTAGGTCACTCTTCAATGCATATAACAATGCACATGGATGATTCATCCTACTAATGCACTTGTGAAATGCCAACATGCAAAGTTGCAAGAATTAAGGTTCATTAACACTCAATTCTCTATTAGACATTTCATCAAACAACATCATGTGCACTATAATACTCTATCATAGCCATGAATCTAAAACTTTTCCTAACCATCCAAAATGGGGAAAAACCCCTTCACAAAGCCATAATAACCTGTCAAATAAAACACTTCTAAAAAGGGTTTCATAACACCCCTTCAAATCCATCTCAACTACCTGCCAATCCAACAACCCATTTCATCTATTACAAGGTATTAACATTCACAAAGCATAGAAATCTCTATTCATACATCCATACATGGCATATCACATGTTTCACATACATACATCATTACTATTAAAACCCTAATCAAGAAATTTCATAAATCTCAACTTGGTTGGGTTTTACTTACTTGCTATGGAGAGACTTCACCAAATCCTCTTTCCACTTGGTTTCTTGACTATTCTCTCTACTCTTAACCAAAAGAATGAAAACCCTCAAATTTCAATATGGGTTAAAACTCCCAAATCACACAACTTAAGTAGAGATTCTTACCTTAGAAAGCCTTAGGTTGCTTTTATACCCCCAAATCACTTCAAAATCCCTTGGAAAAACTTGATCAGAGAGAAGAGAAGTTGAGAGGAAGAAGAATGGAGTGCTGCGTTTGAGGAGAAGAAATGAGGGGTTTTGTTAATTCTAATCCCTTTTAATGAAATGTATAACAAAGCATTCCCTATTGCCCTTACTCTTCTTTGGGAATTCCATCTATATCCTTTGGTTCATTACAAAATCACCCCATGTCAACAATTCTCCATGAAAAATCCTTACAATTAACTCCCCACTTTCCTGCTAAAAAGGGGTAGAAAGGTCAAATTGTCCTTAGGGAAGAAAATGTCTAAAACTCAACCAACATTTTATTCGGCCTGCGCCCGCGGCGAAGAAACATTGTCGCCGCGGCGAAATGTCCAGGAGTTTCACCCTTGGTTCAACCCATCTTCGCCGCGGCGAAGATTCTTCTTCGCCCGGCGAAGCTGGTACACTCAAATTCTTCTTTTTCAACAATTTAGGGCAAACAATCAACATAACATTCAAACAAACAAATATAACAAAAACCAACTCGATTAAGGGCGAAAGAGGAAACAATAACAACGTACCTCAAGCGGGGCGTTACAACTGTCCAGATCACTTCTTCAATTCTAGCACACACTACCCTGCACATACTGCCCAAGACTCTTGGAAACTATAGAAACAAACTGCAACTTGCACACTTGCTCAATCTGCACAATGCAAAAACTACAACATGCCTAGGCTTCATTTCCAGCAACCACTAATCTGTACTAGTTGCACAAAAATCATGGACTCTGCATAAAATAGAAGAACAAACAGATGCATTTCGATTGCCATATCACCAAAATAAAAGAACAAATAAAATAAATGTCATCATTCAACCATATCATCATTAGACCATGTAAGTAGGAATGATATGATAGAGGAAGGTAGCATGAATGCCATTGTAACCTTTTGAAGCAACATCATAGAAACATGATATAGCACTACTATAATTATATTTAAGCTTAAAATTTATACCATATATGGTGAAAAATTACAATCGAAATTTGTTAATTACATAGAAGATGTTACTGGTATCAAGTTCTTCGTAAGGATGTGGACCATCAAAAACATCCTTGACGATTAACGCACTCAACAACTGCCAAGGGTCGATATCATGTATATATTTGGCTCATAAATCATATGAAACACACAAAATTGCACAATGAAAAGTGACAATTATTTGGTTCCAGGATAAATGACGCAAAAGATGATGAAGATAATGCAGAAGGGTGCTTACCATTGCACTGCAGCAACATAACTAGAAAATGATCTATGCCACTTGTTTTAATATGTAGGTCCACCAAAATTCACTAACTTCTAGAGTTCTCTAACCATTTGCAGCCCACATAATGCTGGTATATAATCAACGACCGGTTTTTTCGATTGGACCAATAATACATCAAAGTCATAGCATCAAAATGACATTACAAATTAAAGCTTACAATAAGAACATGGGAACATGAAAACAGTATTGTGATATAAGTAGAAAGTCTTTGTTTAGGTAGGAAGAATTGATATGTTGATGAAAGAAATGGCCCATGACATTTCTTACAACATGTTGATGATATTAAACTTATTAATTAATTAGTTTACCATTTAACAATTGAGAGGAGTCTCTTGCAGAGGTCAAACAATTAAGATAATCACGAGAGAGAAAGAGAGATATTTTACAACATGGACAGCTGTCAAAGTAGGCAAAGGAGAAAAAGGGTGGAGTATAGTCACATGATATCCAATAGTCGCATCTGTAAAATACAGAATAAGAAACAGTCAGTATGTCCACAAAAATATCAAGCCATCATGGCTATCTCTAACCTTCTTGTGGCTATCTCTTATGCTTCGTGGGGTACCTTTCCCAAATGAGTTTCTTCCCATTTCCCCCAACCTCCAGACTGTAGCTATAATTATGGGCTTCTGTCTCATCACCCACTAAACGGAGGAATGCCATATACGCTAGAGCCATCCCCACCAGAAAAGCTTCAAAATGGAGACAAAAGTATTGCGACAGTGACTCTGGCCAAGTTGCGACGGTGAGAAATGACGAAGACGGTTGCGGCAGTGGCAACGACTTTGGCCAAGTTGCAAGGGCGAGATTTAAGGTGGAGAGGTTTTAGGTAGTAGGGGCTAAATGAATTTTGCTAAATGTGTTAGGGTTATGGTTTGGTTTGCAAATTTAGGGCAGATGAATTTTGGAAGGAGATTTGAATTTGGGGAATTCTAGGGTTCGTTTGGTTTGTTATTTTGGATATGATTTTGGAAATAGTATTGGGTAGTTGAGTATGGTGATTATTACAAGATAAAATTTAAAAATTAACAAAAAAAACCCCTAGGTTTGCTAATTTAACTAAACACTCTAATATATAATTTTTTTTGTAAAATGACAAAAACACCCCCACCAACCCACAGTGCCAGATTCTGGCCACCACGTCGGAATCTGGTAGGAATCAGGCATTACGACCCAGACCGATTGGATCTGACCGGTCGTGAGTTGATCTGGCCTTTTCCAGCCAAATGCACCACGAATCTGGCCAGAAAAGGCCAAATCTACGGCCAGATCTGGCTGTTGACGATCGCAAAAGGATGACGGCCAAAGATATGTTGTCACTGACGGCCAGTTAAGTGAATTACCGGCCAGTTCCGATCGTTTGTACTCCGTTGTGACAGATTCCGGCTACCACCGATAGTGGTTGCCTGAATCTGGCAACTATGGGTGGGTGTGGGTGTTTTTATTAATTTTTAAACTTTTTCTGGGGGTGTTTAATTAAATTAATAAATTTAAAGGGTCTAAAATGACTAAATAAAATATAATAGTATTTCCTAAATAATGAAACAAACAGTTATTTTGAGAATAGGATTGGGAATAGGGTATGAAATAATAAATTAAATGGATCTCTAATTTCCAGAAATTAGGGTTATTGAAATTAAAAAAAAAATACATTTTGGGAAGTGATGTGGCAACTAACTGACGTGGCATATGAGGTGGCAATGCCACATGAGCTGCCACACCATGAAGTAAGAGAATGGTGTAAAAAACTGGTGTAAAGATAGCATTACTCCTAAATCATTCTTACCTCTAATGAGTTGAATTCAGTCATAAATCATACATTTTTTTTTTATTTGGACTATTATTGCAATGGTGAAAAAGAAGATATTTTCACAACTATCCTTGGGTGATCGAGTGGTTGAATACGGATTCTTGAAGTATTATCTAAGAGGTTCTGAATTCGATTCACCTCGATTACTTATAGAGATGGCCACTGGAGGTTTATCCAACCATTAAATTCAGGGTCTCGAAGATTAGTTGAGGTATGCACAAGCTGGCGAACACCCCATCACCCAAAAGAAAAGAAAAAAAAGATATTTCCACCTTTCATAGTCACCCCATCATCTTTATTCTTCTCTCACTCTCTTTCATTCCAACACAATTTTTACCTAACATTTATGAAAATAGAGATCAATTAATACTAATTAAACCTGATTACGCTTTCCATTTAAGAAAAAGTGTTTGCCACTTCTCCTTAATGAAAGTAAAGTACCAAACATCCTCCTAATTCTATTCAGTATGCACAAGAGGCAATGTGAGATTATCCAATTCCCTTTAATTTCTCTCTTATACGTATGTGAATTTGCTGTATTATAGAAATTATAATTCTAATAGGTTGGATTTTGAGTTATATAACTTAAAGTTTGATTGCTTTTTTGGTGATTTTCATCCATCTCTTTATAAACCTTTATATATTTTACCTGTGTTGGAATTGTGACTGAGCTCTAAATTTGTGTGAAATATTTTTGGTAGATTATGATTGCTCTAAACTCTTTTAATTATATTGAATTATTTATTTAACTTTAAATCAAACATCAAATACCATTTTATATTCACTACATATTTTATGATTTAAACATTTTAAAATGTGCATAAAATTGTTAAATATAATCATTACAACGCTTACATATTGCTTGTCAACAAAAATCTAAGTGAATTTTTTATAGTACAATTATTTTATGTAAAAGTGTATGAGCATAAATAAATACATTGGTACAGAGCATTGGACTTAATTATATATGTTTTAACATCTTTAGTAGTGTTTGATGAGAATCTTAGTCTTGTACTTGCCAAATCCTTCTTGGTAAATAACAATAGGACTCCTAACAACATGTCGAGGGCTTTTCCATACAAGTAAACCTGAGTGCACTTTAGTAGAAGCTGGAATTGGTTTTCGTGAAGCCTTCACCACAACTGTAAAGTTCCGTTTCTGCCTGCTGCGAGAGAAGAAGAGACTCAAGGGCTTAACAGAGATATTCACTCCTTTTGGAGCTTTAATTGTGGTATTATAGATGGATACAGGATCACCCACATTGGTGACTGTCCTCCGGAATACTGCAGTGGTTGGATGGTACTTATCCAATTTTACTTGCATTGTTGAATAGTTAAGAGCATCATGGCCAAGTCCAGGAATCAGTGAAGAACAATTTACAGATTTTGAACCAACTATAACAGCCAAGGATGATCCTGTATAGCCCTCATGGCATAAAAATTGGATGTAGCCCATTCGATTTGTATCGTATATTAACCCAGGGCTCACAGCTTCTTGTGGATTCATTTGGCCGGCAACATATGAAAATTCAGCTAAGCGGTCCACCCTCCGGTTCATAGGTGTTGCTTGATAAAGAGTACATAAAAGCATAAGCCATGATCAAATCGAAAATGTTTTAACATTTAAAACCCAAGGCAGAAAAATTAGAATTGGATTAGACATTAAATTATTAAAAAAAAAAAAAAAAACTATCCCCATATCGATATTCAAGATAATCAGAAAGAATTGGGAAACTTATCTATTTCCTACCAGAGGTCAAGATAGCCGATTTTATTGCTGACGGGCTCCAACTTGGATGAAACGACTTAACGTAGGCTGCTACCCCGGCAACATGAGGACAAGCCATGGAAGTCCCAGATATAATTGAGAATTTTGAAAATTGGGTGTCACCTTCCAATCCAGTTAGGGACTTCAACGGCGTGTAAGATGCCAAGATGTCAACACCTGGTGCTGCAATATCAGGCTGTATAATCCACGTTAAAGAAAAGAAGCAACTCAAGTTATTTAGTCCCAAACAACAAGAGAAAAGTAATGTGTATAACCCACCTTCAGAATGCGTTTTGACCCAGGATTTGGACCACGGGACGAAAAAGAAGCTATAAACGGAGCAGGGATTTCTAATTCCTGGGATTTGTAAATAACTGCCAAAGGTTCCCTGCATTGAACAAGAAAAGTTGATTGTTATTCATACTCATGAAAATTTCACAATGCAGTTCGTATTAAATTGACGTGACAGAGCAAAAGATGAGTGCGGGCATTATTTAAAAGTTATGGTACAAATTTTGTTAGCAACATAATAGAGGGGTCATTTAAAAAGATAGCTTCATCTATCACCTTGTGGAATTAATATAACTAGTGATGATATTGCCGTCGCTGCGGTTGACCATGGTTCCTGGTGCCATAAAAATCTGGGCGGTATCAAGAGATTGCTCACTTTCAACTATAGTGCCTACCCCTCCAATCCTTTTAACAACAGAATCAGCACCCCGTATCAGTAGCTGGCAGTAAACAAGCTTTCCCTTCACCTTTGTAGGGTCCATTGAGTTAGCAAAACAGAACCTGTATTCATTGTTAACAGTTATTAATGCCTTTTTTTCTCTTTTAATAATTGGGCAAACGGAAATTAAAGAAAAATTCTGCTCTATAACTCCTTGATGGATAAACTGGTACCTTGCGCTCGACTTTTCGGTGTCGTTTGTGGCAACATCAATTCCATTAACTAGTGGGTATAATTTCTGCTTTGGTTCAAATGCGTCAACGCCAATTCCCTGAAAGACATGTACAATACCGGTATATTACAACAAGAAGCATAAATAAGGTCATCTGAAAAACATTATAATAATTCATCTGGCTAGCTTACTTATGCGCGAATACACAAACTTACTGAGACAGTCTGGCCATTGCCCAAATCAACTTTGCTCCTAAACTGCCTATTAATGCCACCAGCTGCAATGGTGACAAGCCACGGAGCATGGTTACTTAGACTAGCCAAAGTGGGGCCATCGTTACCAGCTGCTGCAACAGTAATAATTCCCTTCTTTAAGGCATGAAATGAGCCTATTGCAATTGAATCATAGGAGTAACGTCGTGAGATACCACCAATGGATATTGATATAACGTCCACACCATCATGAATAGCGGCATTAAATCCAGCGAGTATGTCAACATCGGAGCATCCCAAACTAGCCCAACAGACTTTGTAGGCCGCCACTCTAGCACTTGGTACTGCGCCACGTGCGGTTCCCTTGGCTAGACCATAAAGGCTTGCATTTGCAATATGATTGCCTACTGCAGTTGATGACGTGTGGGTTCCATGGCCTTGCACATCTACCGGCGATAAGATGTCGTTTGGATCGTCTATGCCGTCCACTTTGTAGTATGTCGCTCCGATAAGCTTGCTTTAATAAACCAAATAGGGTACCCAAAAAATAGAATTACTTTAAATTCTGCAACTTTGATGTGCGTCTATATTTGAAATAGAGTAAGAGGCTATACATATTCTATTTTTTTTTCCTTTATATGTAATTATTTTCTACATATGCGAATTACTATATCTTGAAAAAAAAATTATTTTTTATAAATTTAATTGTACATTAATTATTTCTAAAACAATGAGCCCATTACTTGTTGCATCCTGAGAAATTAGCATATTGTTTACAACTTCCTGTCCATTTTGTGGGTGGAGGACCGAACCCAGTATCCTTAAAGCTTTCTGACTCTGGAGTGATTCCTGCCAAACCATCATACAAGTGATTAAGAACTTGATCATCTTCTTAGGTAGTTGTTATCATATTTAATAATAAAACTTAAAAAAAAAAACGAAATTTTCCCAAACCTGAATCCAAGAGACCGACAATTATGTTACTCTCTACTTTCAGATTCCTTCTTGCTGTTTGAGGAAGCCCGATAAAGTCCCATGATTTTGTAGTATGTAACTTGTGATACTGATTCGGGTACACAGAAAGTACTTGATCCATCTCTAAACATTACAATATTATTTAACTCAGTTGATTTCAATCCAAAACTGCAAGTCATAAAACATAGGCCAGTATGTTGAAATAAAGAATTTCACTTACCCATCAATTTGTCGACTTCATCTTTTGATAGCTTTGCTGCAAATGCATTGAAACTCTTTGTATAGCTGTAGAGTATGGACTCCTTTGCTTCATTCTCAACAATATCGTAAGTGGATAGGGGCTCCAGGCTGCAGCGCAAAGTAATGAACGATATTGAAATATATATTTAAATATAACTCAGTTTCACTATTGTTTTACAGTAAACAATACGAAGAAGAAGAAAGAAAAAAAAGCCTAGGGTCATCCCGTGATTATCAATACTATTTAACATAAGCATACGTTTATGCATGCTTGCATGTTTTCAGGAGGATGATAGAATGAATGTACCTTAGCTTCACGGATGCGAGGATTTGGATGTGTGATTGATCAATCATAAAATCATCATCCTCCAGGTGCAGTGAATCCTTGTTCACCAATTGATCTCCCAAGTAAACAACATACAAATTCTGTACATTTTAACGTCACATAAAATCACTGGACATGAAAGATGAAGATAAATGGTACAAGCAATAAATTATAAAGCGTGGGAAGGGAGAGATGATAAGCAGAAATATCCGCACCGATTGATCATCACCAGAAGCAGCAAGAAGACCTGTTATCAACATATGAATTAGAAGAAGTTGATAAGAAAATAAACATAGAAATCCCATCACCCTCTCCATTTCAGTGCAATATTAAAGCTTGTTTTTTAGCCTTAATTGTTTCAACTATTGAGTAGTGTCGTCCTTGAATTAATAGTGGGAGACTATTAACAGTGTACTGTTAGTCGATTAAACTGTTGGGAGTATAGGGACATCTTCATTGTTTAAAAATCCTGGAAATTTACCTTACATTCCAATTCAAGCAATAGTTCTCAACCTTTCAGCATCGCAAAACACAATTACTCAAAGATTGCTTATCTAGGAAATTTTACCATCATCTGATCATAATTACAGGAAAAATAAGAAATTATAGTTACCTATTTTACTACGAATTGAGCTTGATGTTTAACATTGAGACCTTTACAAGGATAATGGAGAAGTATAAAACCCTAAGGCAAGATTTTGAGAAAAATTAAAAATGTACCATCAACCACCCGCTAATTATATTTTTTTTAATTATAATTTTTATGTAATTAAGATTACTTTTAAATAAGGTGTTATCAGATATTAAAGGATTAAAAAAAAAAAAAATTATGAGTTGTTATTAGATATTGAATCAAAAGGATTCTATTATGGAAATAAAATATTTTATTTCACTGAATTAGAATAAACATAAATAACATATACACTGGGGAAAAAAAAAGGTAATGCTTATTGTAATTATTTCAACTAAAATAAAGATGGGTTGACAAACACTTCTTATAAACCTCTTTTACAAACGTTGATATTACAACTCGCAATTAGTCGGTTCGCATTTAGACCAATGGGACCCGTTGTGACTTGACCTATCAGAAGCTGACACGTTATGTTTACGAGAGAAAGTAAATGAGAAGAGTTACTTAGTGTAATATTACTGCACTATTCATGATATTGATAGACAACAATAGGACTCCTAACGCTATGACCAGGGGCTATCCATACAAGTGAACCTGATAGCACTCGTGTAGTGTTAACTGGCATTGGATTTGCCTTTACCACAACCGTGAAATTGAGTTTCTGGCCGGTGCTAGTGAAGGAGAGACTCATGGGCTTAACTGAGATTTCTACTCCAGTTGGAGCTGTAACACTGGCATTGTAAACCGATATAGCAGCACCCACATTGGTGACTGTCCTGTGGAAAATAGTTCTGGTTGGTCGTTGGAGATTCAATTTTACTTGCATACTTGGATAGTTAAGAGCATCATGGCCAAGTCCAGGAATCAATGACGAACAATTTGTGGATTTTGAACCAGTTAAAACAGCCAAAGATGATCCCGTATACCCCACGTGGCATAGAAACTGGATGTAAGCATTGTAATCCGAATCATATATTAAGCCGGGACTCACTGCTTCAAGTGGGTTGAGTTGACCCGTACCATAGGCAAATTCACCTAATCTATCAAGCTTCCGGCTCATAGGTTTTGCTGAATAAACATTACATCAAGCATAAGCCATTTAGAATTTAATGAAAAGTCTAGAAAAAGTGAGAAGCTTATCTGTTTCTCACCTGTGGTCAAAATAGCGGATTTTATTGCCGATGGGCTCCAATCTGGATGGAACGACTTAACATAGGCTGCTACACCAGCAACATGAGGACAAGCCATGGAAGTCCCAGACATGATCGTGAATTTTGAAAATTGGGTGTCTCCTTTCAACCCAGTTAATGACTGCAATGGGGTGTAAGATGCCAAGATGTCGACGCCTGGTGCTGCAATGTCAGGCTGCATAGCGCACATTACAAAAAAGAAGCAACTTCAGTTATTTAGTCCCAAATCTCAAGAGAAATGTAATGCGTAGAGCTACGTACCTTAAGAATGCGATCTGTCCCAGGATTTGGACCCCGGGACGAAAAAGAACCTATAAATGGAGCAGGAATTTCTATTTCCTGTGTTTTCTGTATCACAGCTTCGGATTTTCTGTATTTGAACAAGAAAAGTTGATTACTCATTCTGTCCCATTACTATACATTTGAGAACTTCATAATACAGTAGTTTACCAATTTTTTATTAAATCGATTTATCAGGCCGCTCATTCAAAAACGAAGTAAAAGATGATTAACGGAGAGCATTGCTTCAAAATTACTGGACAATATTTTGTTGCCGACATAAATTAGGGGCAATTTAAATAAGTAATTTCAATTTTTACCTTGTGGATTGAATATAACTGGTGATGATATCGCTAACACTGTAATTGACCATAGTCCCTGGTGCCATAAAAATCTGGGCAGAATCAAGAAATTCGTCACTTCCAATTATAGTGCCTATCCCTCCAATCCCTTTAACAACTGAATCAGCACCCCAAATTAGTAGCTGGCAGTAAACAAGCTTTCCCTTCACCTTGGTAGGGTTCAATGAGCCATCAATACAGAACCTGTATTCATTGTTAACTGTACTTAATACCTTTTTCTCATTCAAGAATTGGCTTATATAACAGTAGGAAGTAAAGAAAAAATCTGCCCTATAACGCCTTGATAGACAAATTAGTACCTCGCATTCTCCTTAGTAGTTTTGTTGTTGTCTCTGGCAACATCAGCCCCATTAACAAGGGGATAGAGTTTCTTCTCTAGTTCAAATGTGTCCACCCCAATGCCCTAAAAGAACATAACAATTAATATTGTTAAATTTGGATAAATAAGATTAAGCACAGCCATTCAACTCATTATAAATGATTTATCTACCTAATTTATACGCTAAGTTAGAAACTTACTGATACAGTCTTGCCATTGCCCAACTCAACGTTGCTCCTAAACTGTCTATTAATGCCACTAGCTGCTACCGTGGTAATCCAGGGTGCATGGTTGTTTATACTAGCCAAGTTGGGGCCATCATTACCAGCTGCAGCCACAGTAATAATCCCTCTCTTTAAAGCATGAAATGAACCAATTGCTATCGCATCTGAGGAGTAATTTATAACCGCACCACCAAGGGATATTGATAACACGTCCACACCATCATAAATAGCAGCATCAAATGCAGCAAGTATGTCGATATTTGAGCAACCAGAGCTCATCCAACATACTTTGTAGACGGCCACTCTAGCATTTGGCACAGCACCGCGTGCAGTTCCCTCGGCTAGCCCATAAAGGCTTGCATTTGCAATAGGATTGCCTAGTATAGTTGATGATGTGTGGGTTCCATGTCCGTCCACATCTACCGGTGATAAGATGTCAAGGGGGTCATTTTTCCGGTCAAGCTTGAAGTATTTTGCTCCGATCAGCTTGCTTTAATAACCCAAAAAATAGAATACGTTAGATACTGCAACTTATATCTATGTGTATATATATACACTAAATGGATGAACGGCCTAAACCATATTTTAATAGATCAGTTAAACGAAATTTTTGGAATTCATATATAATTTTCAAATTGAGATATTATAAAAAAATTAATATATCTTATAAAAATGTTTGCCAAGAAAATTCATGATTAAAAAAAAAAAATTAGTGAGGTTATTACTTGTTGCATCCTGAGAAATTAGCATAGGGTTTACAACTTCCTCTCCATTTTGTGGGTGGAGGACCGAATCCAGTGTCCTTAAAGCTCTCTGACTCTGGGGTGATCCCTGCGAACCATTATGCAAATTATTGGTTGAGACCTCACTATCATACCCTGTGGGAAATATTATATTATATAGTAATGTTTATATATATATTCTTCAAACCTGTATCAAGTAGACCAACAATTATATCGCTCTCTGTTCTCAAATCTCTTCTAGCTGTTTGCGAAAGCCCGATAAAGTCCCATGATTTTGTAGTACATAACTTGTAATACCGATTCGGGAACACAGAAAGCACTTGGTCCACCTCTAAACATTAGAATTTTATGTCACTTAGTAAATTTCAATCTAAAATGTAAGTCCGAATGTTGAATTAAAGAGTTTCACTTACGCGTCAATTTTTCAACTTCAATTTTGGATAGGCTAGCTGCAAATGCATTAAAACTCTTTGTATAACTGTAGAGTATGGAATCCTTCGCTTCAGTCTCAGCCGTGGCGGCATTGATTTGGGGATTGGTTTGGGGATTAGCCAGGCTACAAAACAAAAACAAAAGAAGATTTGCTAATATTGTGTGTGTGTGTATATATATATAAAAAAAATAGCTGCCTGTATTTGTTTTTTGACGTTATAACCATATGTTTGTGCTTGCAATATGTGTGTGGGAGGATGGAGTGAATCTACCTTCGCTTCACAGATGAGAGAATTTGAATGTGTGATTGATCAATCACAGAATCATTATCCTCCAGTATCGCTGAATTTCTGTTCTCTATTTTGTCTCCCAAGTAAACAATATACAAATCCTATACATTTAACATTCACGTTAAAACACTGGCTTAAACATAAAGTATGAAGATAAATGGTAGCAGTAAAGTTAATTGTAAACGTGAGAAATGAGAGATGGTGAATGCGCACCGATTGATCTTCACCAGAAACAGCTAGAAGACCTATCAGCACATAAATTAGAAGAAGCTGATGAGAAAAGAAACATAGAAATCTCATCTGCCACTCCATTTTATTACGGATTAATGAAAGCTTGTTTGAGATATTGAGTTTCATCTGTATTATATAGTGTGAGCCTGTATACAGACCGCCTAACTACTTTGATAACCGTTTACTATTAATGGAGGAGAATTTTCGTATTCAGTTAGTCTTGTGAGGTGCTGGCAATTGGGAACCTTAAAAAAGAAAAGAAAGATTACTTGGTCTGTAACTTCCACCAAGAATAGCTTCGTTTGTTTCGTTTTTTTCAAAATACTCTATTCTTATCCATCAAAAAATTCTGTTTGTTTCTTAATCTCAAAATCATATCCTATAATATTTAACTATTTTAAATCTAATAAGTTTGTTAATTTAACTAAACACCTCTAATAATTTTTTTATAAATTAACAAAAACACCCCAACCCATCCACATTTGTCAGATTTTGGAAACCACAGCCAGAAGGTGTCCGGAATCTAGTGTAATGGTACATTACCAACTAGATTTGACCAGTAATATGTCGATCTAGTCTTTTCTGACCAGATCCACAGTCAAATCTTTGACCACATCTATCTGTCAATAATGGCTAATATATGGCCATCGTTGACCATCAAAGATGACCATATCTTTGGCCATCAACGGTCAGATCCGGCCGTAGATCTGGCCGAAAAAGGCCATAGCGACGCACGATTAGTCAGATCTGGCCGGTCATATGCAATGAAACAAGATTCCGGTCAAATTCCGACGGTGGTGGCCGAAATCTAACAACTGTAGGTGGGTGGGGGTGTTTTTATCAATTTATAAACTTTTTATTATTGTGGGTCTTTAGCTAAATTAACAAATCTATGAGTTTTTTTTTGTTAATTTTTAAATCTGTAATAGTAACCCAACTCAACTTAACAATAATATTTCAAAAATACTACTAAAAATAATAATTCTTGGCTTCGTTTGGTTCAAAATTTTAGGGTTTTGGAAAAAGTTTTTTGAAAAAAGTTGAAAAAAAGTTGAATTGGGCGGGTATTACGAGGTAAGATTTATAAATTAATAAAATGCCCCTTATGTTTGTTTTTTTACAAAATACCTCCTATGATAAAACATTAAAAGTTAACAAAAACACCCCTAACCAACCCTCAAATACCCCCAGCCGGCCACCACCACCGGAGGTGGTCGGAGTCATCTTATCGGCACATGACGGGTTGGATCTTGCCGGTCATGCGTCGCTATGGCCTTTTCTGGCCAGATCCACGGTGGATTTGGCCGGCAAAAGCCAGATCTACGGCCAAATCTGGCCGTATTTGCTCTTAACGACGGCCAAAAAACGGTCGTCGTTGATGGTCAACGACGACCGTTTGTTGGCCGTCGTGACCGACTGTTACGGCCAAAGATCCGGCCGTCAACGGCCAGATCTTTGGCCTTAGATCTGGCATTTTCCGGCCAGATCCACCGTGGATCTGGCCGGAAAAGGCTAGATCGGCGCACTACCGGCCAGATTCAGCCGGTAGTGCGCCATCCTATCAGATTCTGGCCATTTTCTGGTTGTGGTGGCCGGAATCTGGTAAATGTTGATTGTTGGGGTGTTTTTGTAATTTTTAAAAAAATATTTAGGGGTATTTAATTAAATTAACAAATTTAGAGGGTTTAAAAAAATTGAATAATATTGAAAGTAGTATTTCCAAACATGAGAGTTTTTTGGTATTTTACTGTTTAACTTTTTTGGGAATACTAAGAGTAGTATTCCCAATTTTGAACCAAACGAAGCCCTTGTTTTTGTATTGTTTGAACGAATTAACTAAACAGCAGCATTTGAGCTCATTACATTAAAAGTTTACATTATATTCCAATTCAAGCAATAATCAACCTATCCATATCAAAAGCACAGTCGAGATCAAAGATTGAATACGAAATTGTATAAACAAACCATTTGGCTTTTGGTATTGGATGATAAGACCTTAAGGGTCTGCTTAGGAGTTTTTTTTCACTTATTTTAAAGGGTTTTTAATTAGACTAATTTTGAAGTGTTATAAAACCATTACCTACCATATTTTTTTATACACTGATTTTGACTGGCTCAAACAACCCCCCCTCCCCAAAACTATTGTAGTGTATTTTTTAAGAGTTTATAAAACATCCAAAATTTGGGTGTTTTGGTTGGTTTTAAAATTTTATTTTACAAATACCATATCCACTACAAAACTATCCCAATTATATCCAAAAAAAATTTAATCATATTATGCGCATCTCCAACCATATTAAATATAAAATAATTTGAAGTAATCATAAAAAAAATTATTAAATCTCATTTCTAGATGCTTTCTTGGAGAAGTAGAGCTACAATTTTGTCAATCATTTTAGGTGTTGCAAAGAATAGCGAAGAAAGATAAAAATATTTTATCACATTTGAAATTATAAAATATTAATCAGTAAAAAACAAATAAAGAATCTTTATCTTGTAATTGAAAAAACAAAACTCCAAAATATTAGTTGAAGTTTGAGTATTTTTATGGACATATATGTAAATTTATCATTTTAAAAAACTATCAGAACAGCTGGAAAATAAACTCCCAAGCACAGGATTGATGTTTTAAAAACCGCTACTAAAAACCTCTCAAAACCGTTACGATGGTTTACTCTCATAACCGTTACCATAAAACTCTGAAGCGGACACTCTCATAACCGTTACCATAAAACTCTGAAGCGGACCCTAAGTTACCAGAGATCTAAATACCCTGTTTAAAAAATTAAAAAATAAAAATAAAAAAGTGTATAAACAAACCACCGATTAATTTTTCCGTTAATCATAGTTAAGAAGAAAATATATATTTAGTTATTATATGAGATAAAAAAGATAGTTGGAGAAAAAATAAAAAATAAAATGAACAAAGGGGCAAACTTGGAAATTTACGTTCCTATATAAATCGCAAAACCCTCCCGTTTCTCTCCTTAAACCCTACCTACACTCATGTTCCTTACGCGCTACTCCCGCCAGAAACCACTTGAACTCTCACGCCATCTCACGCGCCACCTCTACTCCTCTTCTTCCTCTTCCACCACCAAATCTACACCTTCTAAACTCCATGATTACTACTCCTTCAAACCCCCGCCTTCACTCTCTCCAAAGCCCGAAAATCCTAACAAGAATTTCAAGAAAAAATCCAAACCTCGGTACCGTCCACCTTCTTCTCTCGATTCACCAAAGAAAATACACTCTAATTTGCCCTTCGATTTCCGATATAGTTACACGGAGAGCAGCCAGACGGTGAGGCCAATTGGGCTTCGGGAACCCAAGTACTCGCCGTTTGGGCCGGGTCGGGTGGACCGAGAATGGACTGGGGTTTGTGCCCCTGCTGTGGACACGAAAGTGAAGTCGGTGGAGGAGGGACCGGAGGATCCTAAATTGGAAGAGAAAAGACGAATCATGAGAGAACGAATTCAAGGACTGCCACTTACTAATCCTGAGAGAAAGGCTTTGGTGGAGAATTGTCATCGAAATCGAACCAAGAGACAAATCCAATTGGGTATCTTATTATTCTTTTTTTACTTAGAAAAGAGTTTAGAATGTAAAAAGTATTGAATATGAGTACTGTTCTCTCATCTGCTAAAATTTCTTGAATTTATTAAATAGGACATGAATTAGTAATTTTCCTTTTCCTTTAATCTTCTTTTTGTGGCGCTTGTGTTTAAATTTTGTCATTAAAATTTTATCTCCTTTAGTTACTTTCAATTTAAGAAGTGTCTTCAAGCATTGGGAATTTGTTAGCTAACATTTCTAGCATTTGTGTATGCATTGTGTATACCCCTTATTTATAAGAGCAAGAGTAAGTAACTTCTGCTCATCTTTTTCCCTTGCCAAGTGTTTGTTGAATAGAGTTTCATTTTTCTAAAAGTTTAGGTTTGAGAGCTGCTCAGAATCTTTCTTTTTCTTCTTTTTTTTTCTTTGTCTTTTTAATTCATTACTTCTTGGTCTTATTATTTTCTTTTTGGTGTGTTTTTTTGTAGGCAGAGATGGTTTGACACACAATATGCTGAATGTTATACATAATCATTGGAAACATTCTGAAGCAATTAGGATAAAGTGCCTAGGAGTCCCCACTGTTGACATGAAAAATGTGTGCTACCAGCTTGAGGTATCTTCTTCTTTGCTTTGAGCAGTGACATTCTTTCTTAGCTCTAGGAATATTTCAATGAGGAACAAAATTTTCACAAATTTATTTGATGTGAACTTGTTTTACCTGAGCTTCTGCATGGTGTTTAATTGTGATTAGTGTCAGTGGTTTTGTTTCAGATATTCTTGTAGAGGAAGAAATATTTCATGTGGTTTACATTTTCGCAGGATAAATCATTTGGAAAAATCATTTATAGACATGGCGGTACACTTGTTCTATATCGAGGCAGGAACTATAAACCCAAGAAAAGACCTGTGATTCCATTAATGTTGTGGAGACCTCATGAACCAGTATATCCCAGGCTTATCAAAACTACAATTGATGGTCTAAGCATTGAGGAAACAAAGGAAATGAGAAAGAGAGGATTGGCTGCTCCTGCTTTAACAAAACTTGGTATGCCTTTCTTATTGTGTTCTATTTAAAAAACTTGTTATTCAATGTGGCACTTAACTAGCACGTTGCAATTGCAGCAAAAAATGGTTACTATGGCAGTTTGGTACCCATGGTAAGAGATGCTTTTCTTGTCAGCGAATTGGTACGAATAGATTGTCAGGGTCTTGAGAGAAGTGATTACAAGAAAATAGGCTGCAAACTTCGGGTAAACCTTTGGTTTTCTTCCGCATTTCTGATAAAGTTCCTTTTTGGTTATTTCTTATGTTTTCTTTCTCTTTTACTGTTAATCTCCATGTAAATTCCTTGCTATTCCTTTTCTGTCTATATTGCAACAGAGATTCGAAAATGAGATAGAATTGTTTTTTAATTTGTTCAAGAACTGTTTTACTGGGCATTTTTCTGCTTCTTAATGTTTCCCTTGTTAATGCTATCATAATTGGAATTTCTTTTGATTGGCTTAATATCAGGCCAAGATGAGATTGTACTGCTTCCCCTTCCCATCTCTTTCTTTTAACTTTGTGAAGTTGCTTATTATGGAATTAGTTATGATCATGTGTTTTGGCACCAGCAAATTTTTTGTTATTTTTAACCAATTTTCAATCTTGGTGCAGGATCTTGTTCCTTGTGTTCTGGTGACATTTGATAAGGAGCAGATTGTGGTGTGGAGGGGGCACGATTATAAGCCCCCAGAAAATGTGGGACACTTGCTCACACATCGAGAATTATTTGATAATTCAGATGAACTGGTTTCTGGAGTAGAGGGACATGATTACTCAGGCTAGAGCACCAGCCAACACGGTTTCAGCTCTCATGAGGTTGAGTAGTTATTTGCTTGCTGACAGTTGCAAGCTGACTTGATGCTAGTGTGCTCCTATTTGCCTATTTAAAATATTAGCAAGAAAGGAGGACCTTTGAGATCCCAAGAACAGTACGTTCGAATCTTTTTGTTATGGGTTTGAGGTATCACTCAATTGGTAGACCTGCTAGATCATTCCTAGAACAGAGTTGGGCATATTTTCAGTAGTAATTTAATCTCCCCATCATTACGAAAGTGAATTAGTATGAAAGATCAAGATCATGTGTTCACCAAAATGAATCCACCAAGCTACTGAATTGTATTTTGTATAGACTAGATACATGGGATTCTCTTACTTTTGGAATAGGATATCATGGTTGCACATGCAGCACCTTACCCTTCACTGTTTGGATCTGTAATCGTGATGCCATTACCCAAAGTTGGCGTTTGTATCGATTTTTTATAATTGCTCCCTGACTTATATATGCTGTTTTTATGTATATAATAATGCTATTTGTTTTGCTTCTTATCTTGCAGTGAAGAAATAAGTAGGTTGTCATTTGAAGTATCGCTAAATGACATGCTAAAAAAATAATCCGGGTTGGATTTGGATCTACATCTTTAAAGCTTAGTTTCCATTCCAATCAATGAGTGAATATGCAAACAGTAGCTGATTGAAACTTCGACAGAGACAACAAACAGGCTAAATGATGGACCTTGATGCTAAGGTGAGTTACTTATTTGAACTCACATAGCGTTTAAAATATTATCGGTTTAAAATTATTTGATCATGTGAGTTTCTACTGATTATCATCATATTCTAACTAGAGATCTTGTGGATAATCACAAATCCTACAAATTTATTAGAAAACAAAAGAGGGCAACAGATAATGTTAATTTGACATGTTTTGATGTCTTATTGTGTGGGAATTAATAATAAGTGAGGCCTAGCAGGGCACCATCGATATTCCAAACAGTATGCGACAAGTATATTGAAATCCAGGAAGGTGGCACTGGCTCAGGCCTCAGCATGCGCGATATATTCCGTGGACCCTCTGTCTTCTCATAATTTCGTTTATTAAACTCTCTCTCTTTTTCACTAACTATCAATGATCCATTCAAACGAAGTGGAATTTGTATGGGGCTAAGGCTGCCCCAACGCGTTACCCTTACCCACCCTTTTTTGAATCCAACGACCACAATGATCCATTTGTTTGACTTCATACAAAATCTCCTTCACACAAAAAAATATATCCTTGGTTACCGACTTCAACTCTTTCCGCTCAAAATTAAGATTTTTTTTTTGTATAATTTAGGCAAGAATATTAAATATGGTAAAGTATTGATTTATTAATAGTATTTTATCATGTATTCATGGGATTAAAAAATAAATAAAAAGGTAATTTATCCATATAGGTCGGAAGGCAAAAAGATAATAACCCACCATTACAACCACATAATATAGTAATAACTTGTTTACGGTCCAATTCTGTCATTTGCTTTTCTCCTTCTGTCATTACAACTTCAAAGTTTGAGCCCTTAACTTTCCCTTCCCACACATCACTAATGGCGGACCATGATGTATCCTCACCTCTCCTCCAATCTCCACGAGCAGATCATACCCAAGTTATTATCGCAGTCGATGACGATTCCGTTGACGAACCATTGGATCAACTTCAACCCTCCCCAATCAAGCATAACCACAACCACAGCCACAACCACCTTTTTCCTAACTATCAATCCAATAATTCTGGAAACCCTTATGAGTTTATTGGCTCTGACGGCTTTTCTGTATCGGGTCCCTCCACTTTGAATCCGTTTCAAAACGAGACGCCGGAGATTGATGGTGTTTATGAGGTTTTAAAGATTGTCTTGTGTTTGCCAATTGCATTGATTAGGCTTGTGCTTTTCGGGTTGTGTTTGTTGGTGGGTTATTTAGCTACGAAGTTGGCGTTGGAGGGTTGGAAAGACAAGCAAAACCCTATGCCCTTGTGGAGGTCTCGTCTCATGTGGGTCACTAGGATTTGTGCCCGCTGTATTCTCTTCTCTTTTGGGTATGCTGGTTTTTAATTTTATTTATTATCTCAAAACATTCTAGTAGGTTTTGGGTTTCTATAGGGCCTTCCTCGGAACGGACAATGAATTTGGGTTCTTGTTAATTGATGTTTTATTGCTTGCAGCTATCATTGGATTAGACGGAAAGGAAAACCTGCTTCAAGGGAGATTGCTCCTATTATTGTATCGAATCATGTATCATATATTGAACCAATCTTCTATTTTTATGAATTATGCCCTACAATTGTCGCATCAGAGTCACATGATTCTATACCCTTTGTTGGAACTATTATCAGAGCAATGCAGGTAAATTAAGAGTTTTAAGTATAACAGATTTAGTTGTATTAATATTTTTAGTTTCCAACACTTCCTCTCCCTCCCTTTCAACCTCACTCCTTATTTTTTAATTCACTTTGTCAGGTTATATATGTAAATAGGTTCTCACAATCTTCAAGGAAGAATGCTGTTAATGAAATAAAGGTAAAAAGTTTTTATAGTTTTTTGTTAACATTTTCCATTGCTTTGATTGGTATTGTTTTCTTATCTATTTGTTTCTTGATGGGCTCTTCTCCCATCTCCCTTGTTCTTTACTATAAATATCAGTATATATTGAGAACTCACTTTTATCATATCTATGCATTAACTTTCTTTTAAGGTTGCTGAGTCTATACTTTGTAGTCATTATTCTATGTCCCAAATTGTTCATTTTTGTGCCAAAAAATCAATTTGACAAAGTTTTACCTTGTCTAAGTGGTAGTAAATTTTTTGCATTAACTTTCTTAAGACTTCTTGAAAATGGGTGCAATCACATACAATTATGTATCCATGAATAGACTTCTTGAAAATGGGTGCAATCACATACAATTATGTATCCATGAATAGACTTCTTGAAAATGGGTGCAATCACATACAATTATGTATCCATGAATATATATATATAAGTTAACTTTATGAAACTAAATTGGAATAATTATTATCAATTTATAAGCTATTTGATACAGAAATGTGCTTTCAAGGATGTGAATACAGAGAAAGGCTTCGTGCGATAGATTTCCTCGTGTGCTATTATTTCCTGAGGGGACCACAACAAATGGGAAGGCTCTTATTTCTTTCCAACTTGGTGCATTCATCCCTGGTTTCCCTATCCAACCAGTTGTTGTTCGCTATCCCCATATACACTTTGACCAGTCTTGGTATGATCCTGTTTCGTTTTCTGGTGGAAGTTTCTTTTAGTTGCTGTCTCTGTAGTATTTACCTTACCGCCTTGTTTGTTTGCTATGGCATCTTTCTCAGGGGGGATATATCCTTGGCAAAGCTCATGTTTAGAATGTTCACACAGTTTCACAATTTCATGGAGGTATATGGTTTTGCCTGCTTACTTAACTTGAATTTATGGTTACTGTCAACTTTGTAAAGATTTGTATGGGTTATTCGTTAACAATTATTTTAATTTGAACAGATAGAGTACCTTCCTGTTGTTCATCCAAACGAAAATAATAAAGAAAATGCCTTCCATTTTGCTGAGAGGGTGAGTATTTGCTTTTAATTGATTTATTTTGCCGCTTCATTGAGCGCTTTTTTTCCCTATTTTCGGAGAGTTTGAAATGTGCAAACCCATGATATGCCTATGATAAACCTGTTGGAGACCTTAGAATTGGATAAAAATGTGTACATTCTCTCTCATTGTTGATTTCATTAATATTAGAAAGTTGGGATTAATAGTTCCTTTCTACATCATGTGTTTTCCTATAAAAATTACTAGCTTCCTGATTTGATATATATTGTTGATTAATAAATTTATTCAAATTTGGATGTCAACAGACCAGCCATGCTATTGCATCTGCTCTCAATGTTGTACAAACATCTCATTCATATGGAGACTTAATGCTACTCAACAAAGCATCTCAATCAAAACAGGTATGCATCCTTCTAGATACAGATTTTTTTTTTTTTTGGTTGAAACAGCCCGAAGGTTTTTGCCATCACGCTTAAAAAACATATACTACCAATGCTTATTGTTGAATAGGCATAAACTACTATACTTTCGTCACTGCTTAAAAAGCATGTCACTTGGGCCTTCCCTTCTCTTTGTTGCACCTTTAATTTGAATTATATTTTCTTATTTGTGTATACTTGTTTAGGTTTGTTTGGTGAAGGGACATTACATATAATAGAATCATGCAAAATTTGATCATTCTAGCTTTCAAGGGCCCTCCCTGTGAAGCTGCATCTCTTTGCCGACATGGTTATTAAATATAGAATTTGCTTTGTTTTCAGAGCTACCCGACAATGTTATTACTTTTTTACTGATATTTTTTAATCATAATCTTTGCAGGGAAAATCCTCAAGTTATATGGTTGAAATGGCTAGGGTTGAATCAGTAAGTCCTCACACTTAAATGCCTTATTTTGAAATGTTTTCTTGTGTTACTATGTTAAGAAACTAGAACCAGGTTCATATTGGTGGATCTTTGCCTATAGAGAAATAGTTTTTTTTATAAGTTTCTTGTTTTTCGTCAAAACGTGATGCTTCATTTTTTAAGTGACAAGCATAGTACAAGCTATTCTTCGTTTCTGTATGCTCAATTATTTTATCAAATTTTACAGATTTAGAAGAAGAGATTAAAAAGGCCTTGAAATATATTTACATGTTGATCAATTATTCAGTGATCTTGCCTCTTATAATTACCTTTGAACAGAAATATGATCCAGATATCTTGTTTTTCAGTTATTTCATATAAGCAGCTTGGAAGCTGTGGACTTTCTGGATAAGTTTCTGTCTATGAATCCAGACAGCAGGTATAGTTGAATTGTTTATTTTATTGGTGATGAGAAAAATTTAGCGCTCTTTTAGCGTTTGAGTTAGATGGCATCCATTGTTTTCAGTTGTGAATAATCTCTTCTTTTGGCTGTTAAGGAGGAACATGTATTAAGTCCCAAATTAAGTAATTTGGCTGTTAAAAGTAATGTAATCACTAAGTTTTCCACAGTTTCCCTTTGTGTCTTGTATTTATTAGGTATTATAAGCAATTCTGCTTATATTCTACGCCCAGTCTAACTTTTGATGTAATATATGTGCTACCTTTCGATGGAAGTCCATTAGGCTTTTGATAGCTGTCTTTGGCCTTTTTCTGTCATTTTATCTCCTTTAAAGTTGCTGTCCAAGATAATGAAGCATGTTTGATGCACTCTGAACTTTATACTTTTGAACATGAGCGCTGTTATTTCTGTTTCATGACTTATGATTAAAATGCAATAAGTTGTGGTCATAGCAGAATGACTGTATGTTTTATTAAAGTCTCCATTATGCTGTTGGAATCTTTTCATGATATTAATGAGACAATAAATTTGCACAATCTTTTCCTATTACCCATACAATGTGGGATTCAATGTTTCTTTTGCACTATACTTACATAAATGCTTTGGTGATGCACATGAAATAATAATTATGACCCTTTATACCAATTCCCCTTTTTGCAAATACAGACTCGTATATCTCACAGTTTTATTCTATTTGCAGTGGTCATGTCAAACTTCTGGACTTCTTGAGAGTTCTAAGGCTCAAGTCTTGTAACCTTTCTCAGGAGGTATGTGTCATGCAATTATAGCTTCTTTTGGTTGACTAAAATTTGTGTTCTTGCTCTTTTAGTAGTCTATGATGAAAAATGTCCAAAGTGAGTTATATGTTATGAGTAAAGATATAATAAGTTAGCATATACTTCATATGTAGAACATAGATGTTTTTAGTTGCACCTACGTATGAAATGTTGTTCTGGAAGGTGTGAACTATTCTCTGTATTTATGTTGGAGATTTCAAATATAGTTTGCAACTGTTCAGTTGACCACTGCTTTTATCTTTATTCCAAGTAGTAGAATCATGTTTTCGGGGATTAATGTTTCTATCCACTGTTCTTATTTCATATCATGTGGCCTAAATTTTTAGTTGGAAATTATTTGCTTTGCATTAAGAATATGGATACACATATTGAAGCTGATGCATAGAACCTGAAAGTTCAATGCCATGTTGATTATACAGGTGTCAGATTCTAGCATAGATAAAATATGCTTAACATGAAACCTTATGGACCAAAAAAAAAAAGGAAATAGGGGTTGATTCAGAATTTTGTGGTGTAGATTGATCTCTGACGCTTGTTTTGCAGAATTATTCTGGTCTTTCTAATTTGGTTAACACGTTTATTTTATAGGAAAAGATAGCAGTTACAGCAATGATTTGTTATGCATCATCATTTAATGCTTTCTCTCGTGTGTTGGATTTCAGATATTTGGATTCGTTGATGTAGATAAGAATGGATCGATCACATTCAAGCAGGTAACTTCTGCTACCCTTCTTCTGTTTTGTGTATATATGTGCTACCAGACTTTGTTTACTTTTAAAGGATATCTTGTCATGAGATTTGAGAACAATAATACTATAGATATCTTTCATGCACTAGCATTACATACATGTACCCGCACGTGTCATCTCTTTGGTGTTGATTTGCTCTGGATTTCAGCCAAAGGCCTCTTGTGGTGCAAATCCTATTTTCATATATGGCCAACTTCATACTGTTTTATTTATGTTACAGTTCTTATATGCATCAGCTCATGTCATGAAACTGCCGTTATTCCGACAAGCCTGTGAACTAGCGTTTGCTGAATGTGACACTGAAGGAAATGGTTACATTAAAGAGCATGAAGTATGTTGCTCTTTCCATAATTATTTTGCTTCACCTTTGATCTTCCTTATCCTTTATGAAAATTATGCTCAGATGAATTCTCACTTGCATTTTCTTGGTTTCTGCTTGATTTGGAAAACAGTTGGGATTAAACATTAGACCTGCCATCCCAGATTTGAACAAGGACGAGGTAAAAGAAACACTTGTTTATTAAAAAGAAAAAGTTATTTTATTAACAACAATAGAAGGTTTATATATTTTTTTTAAATATTATTGGGCAATAATATTGGAAGCCAACTTATGTGAAATGTGGTGCATGTAGATCCATGGTCTGTTCAGTTTATTTGACAGCGACGGTGATGGGGAGGTGAGCAAGGATGAATTCGTGTCCTCCCTACGAAAGAATCCTCTTCTAATAGCCGTATTTTCACCTAGTTTGTTGCACAGATACTTGTCAGGAGCTGACAATAGGACGTTGGAGATTGTTTGATTGATGAGTTTTAATGCTCCAGGTGGGGTTAGATGTTGTGTGTAGTGTGTAGTGTGTACCATTTGTATCCATATTTTTGACAGCCGGGTTTGTTGCAGGGGAAGTGAGAGGGGAAGTATTTTTAGTTGCTAGTATAGCGGCCCTTTATAATCTTATAGATGAACATTTCCCCATAAGTTTTGATAATTTTATTTTATTAAACTCGGCAATCTCCTTGTTAGTTCTCCGTAATCTTTACTGCATTTGTTTAAGTTTTTAGAATAGTATTCTATTCTAAATAGAATTTAAATATGATAGAATTTTGAGAATGTGTTAATATATTTTTAGAAAATTAACAAAAACACTCTAATCTATCCAATTATTGTCGACAGTCGATCATCATTGTTGGATGGTGGTCGGAAGCCATCAAAATGGTGCACAACTAATTGGATTTAATTGATCATGCTTTGATCTAGTCTTTTTCGGTTAGATCAATTATAGATTTTGTAGAAAACGGTTAGATTTACAGTAAAATTATGGTCGTTGATAGTTGGATGGATGAGGGTGTTTTTATTAATTTATAAATTTTTATTGAGAAAAATAAATTGTTAAATGTTTAGAGTTGAATAGAATATAATTGGATTTTGAGTTGATAGATCAATATTAAAACAAATATGTATTTTATTAAATTGGATAGGATGATAGGGTAATATTTAAAAAGTTAAACAAACGCAGCTTTCATCTTTCTTTTGTGGACTCCACATCACGTTCCTTGGCAACTTTAGAAAGCACGGGGCACGAAGGCCTGAGGTTATAACGAGTTGAACTTTAAGAAAATCCAATACGATACGATCGATGTTTAAATGAAAGGGAAAAAAAATAAAAACCACCATTCATGTTAGTATCGTGCACACGTTAGGAGAAAAAAACATCCATCTTCAGCCATGAGTTAGTTCGTTTTACAGAAACTGTTGGCAGGCAGATGGTAGGGAAAGTAAAGAGCAAAATACAGAAGTGTTCTGTTGAGATTTGGGCAGTTGATATTAATTAATCAAAACGTTTTAAATGTCAGCAAACTTTTGTGGCTAAAACTTCAACATCGTACAATCTATTATACTGAAGTGGTTGATTTTTTTGTATGAATTATGAATCCCACCTACCTATTTGTATTCTATCAATAAATAAATACTATAAACCTGTTTCTGCACATACATAATAAATTCAATTTGTTTTAGTCCTATACTAAATATTTTATTTTCAGAAATTAATGATTATCTAACCGACCCATCAATCATCAATCTCCTCTGTGTTCGATAATAACACGAGAACTTCTTTCTAGCCTCCACCACCAGTGGATATCGGTTTAAATCTTAAATGTTTCCGAGGAAAAGTCAAATATCATTAATAAAGATGTCCACAAATTTCCTCAATTCGCAACAAAACATTTTCTTCGTGCAACGGTTAAAAAAAAAAAAAAAAAAAAAAAAAAACATGTTTTTTTTGGAAAAATACCTTTGTGTGTTTGTTTTTTTTATTTTGAGTTAGTATTTTTAAAATACTATTGGAAATTAAAGTTAGGTGAGTATCACGAGGTATAATTTAAAAATTAACAAAAAAAATCCCTAGGTTTGCTAATTTAACTAAACACTCCAATATATAAAAATTTTATAAAATGATAAAAACACCCCCACTCACCCACAATAACCAGATTCTGACCATCACCGTCGGAATCTGGCATTATGACGCACGATCGACTGTATCTGGCCAGTCGTTCGCTGATCTGGCCTTTTCCGACTAGATCTACCACGAATTTGACCAAAAAAGGCCAGATCAGCTCATTACCGACCATTTTCGACCGGTAGTGCACCATTGTGACATATTCCGGCCACCACCGATGGTGGTTTCTGGAATCTGGCAACTATGGGTGGGTAAGGGTGTTTTTTCAATTTATAAATTTTTTTATTGGGGGTGTTTTTGTCAATTAACAAACCTAAGGGATTTAAAAAGTTTCTTAATTTAGAATATGATTTTGAAAATAGGGAAACAAACACGCATTTGTATTTAGAAGAAGGATAGGATAGTGATGAAATAACGAAACAAACGCAACCAGTATTTTCACTGTCAAAGGTGTCTAGCATATTCGTATCTAACGATTTTTCACAAAATGGTGAAGAAAGGTACTCTTGGTTACCTTTGTCTATTTTTGTTTATTTATTTATTCGGCAAATTAAATTATAAACGGAGAATATTCCAATTTCCAACCATATTTTTCATAAACAAACTTAGTTATGGCCCTAGGCTTTTTAATGTAGGAAAATAATAAAGACTTTTCTTTAAAAATACGTAATTTTGACTTTTAATAAAGGATGAATTATGGCTATGATGTGAGTGGAAAATTCTACTTCAATTATTGTGTTGATAAATAAATAAATAATACAATTGTTCATTTATTGGATTATTACTTAGTGTAGGTGAGTGACATAATTGGTGAAGTCAAATTGATCGTGAGATTGATATGATTCACATCACGTGTTTATTATATTTAAGTGGTCCAATGAAGGCGGATTCCTTTTGTTTTAGAAGTGGACCACATAATTGATAGGCCCAATCCACCAAAGGACCACACCCTCACATTATTCAATTCAATTTCAAATTGTATTTAAGAAACGCAACAAAATACATATATAAATAATACAAAATTTTATTTTTTTAAATAAATAAAATGTGAGTAGAATGAGAATATTAATAATGTATAAGTCAAACTGTAAATTGGAAAGCAGCCACATTTGAAAGAAAAAAAAAAGGTGACGTCAGATGAGTTAAAAATACATGACGTATTTATATACAGTAATATATATTTAAAGTTTAATTGGAAATAAATTAAATAATAGCAATAGCACGCGTTGTGGTCCCAAAACTGGAGCCTTCTGATATTCGAGTAAACAACTTTTTCCCACGCAATGTTTGCCTTAATGACACTTTTCCACCCAAAAAGTTTCAAAATACTACTTTTTCACCTAAAGTTTATATTTTATTATTACCCAAAGCCGATTCCGATGATAAAATTTCTCTCTATCATCACCATTTGAACCTCAGCCTCCTTTCTACAAAACACTTTTCACTCCGACACTTGATTTCTTGTTGGTTGTCAACCACCCAAAGCTAAGATTTTCTGTTTGTAGCTAATTTTTTGTTGATTCCTACAACGAATATTCAATTGATCACCACCATTAGATCCATCCACCTCCACTTTATAAAACCCCTCTTATTCTAGCTCCTCATAACTCGCCGAATGCCAGTTGAGAAAGTGAAGTATATTTTGGGTATTAGCGACATATAAACTTTGGGTAAAAAAATGGTATTTTAAAACTTTTTGGATGGGAAAGTCATTAAGGCAAACCTTGGGTGGGAAAAAGTCGTTTATTCTCTGATAATCTAACCAAAAAAACATAGTGAACAGAATTATTCGTCACTCTCAACATGGAAGAAAATCAATCACCATACCTCGTTATAAAAAACCGTCACATACCACCCTTTAAATTGACTTCGTTAAGCTTTCCGTTCAACTGAGAGGGATATTTAAACATTGTGTTTTTTTCAATTTCGTTGACCATTTTAACACACTAGTCGACTCAAGAAAATTCAAATTAATATGGAAGAATCGTTGTAAACAACCAACAAGAAAATTGGTTATATTTCATAAGTTAATCAATGGAAGTTAATAAAGTTAGTTAGGGTAGAGGAGGGTAGTGTGTAATACATTTTTTTAAAATCGAGGGTAGATATGTAATCTCTGAAAGTTGAAGGGTGGTAAATAAATTTATTCCGTCTTAACACTCATCCCTATTGAACATAATAGTAATACCCCTTTGTTATTTTAAAAAGACAAAGAACCCACTAACATGTTGATAACTGTCGGCACGACATCTGAGCAAATAATAAATAACTATATAAACTATTTTCTGTTATAAAATTAATTTATTTGTTTTATAAATTAGCAAAATAAAACATGGTTTCCTGTAGACTATATTGGCAGTTGGTGTTTAAAGTCGAATATCAGCCATAATCCATTAGGAAATTGAATGCAGTGTATAAATCATAGTACGTTTGTTAAGATAAGAAAACATGTGGTTGGAAAAAACCACGTGGCACCAATGATTTATCTTAATTTTTGTATGAATATGAAACCGATGGGTAAAACCGTAAAAGTGTCCAAGATGAGAAACCACACAAAAAGGGTAATAGAGTAAATATAGTGATATTTGTGTCTCTTATTGTTCCATTGAAAGTCATCACTCATCACAATGCTTTATGCGTTTTCGATATCTTATTGGCTCTATAGTACCTTCTTGTACGGACGATGTTGACGTGTTCTCATTTCTATTTAACCCACTTGTTTTTGCTGTTTTTGTTTTATTAAATTATTATTTTTATTACTATAAAAAGACTTCATTTCATTTCACACCACCTCTCTCAAGTCATCCGCACGATCCTCTTTTAACCTTTATTCTTCTTTCTTTCTCTGCTTTAACTTTTACACCGACGATGGTTTCCGAAATCTGACAACTATGGGTGGGTATGAGTGTTTTTTCAATTTATAAATATTTTGTTGAGGTGTTTTTGTCAATTAACAAACTTAAGGGTTTAAAAAGTTTTAATTTAGAATATGATATTGAAAATAGGGAAACATGATAGAATTTGAGGTGGGCTTGACTCCTCACTCAATAAGGCCTTGTTGAATGGGAGGATTACCCCTTCTTATAACTCAATAGGCTTAGTGTGCCTAGTCGATGTGGGACTCCAACACTCTCCCTCACGGTCAAGCCCATATATTGGGTCATGCTTGTTATTGGAGGTAGTTGCTGACTCTAACTCCTCACTCCTGGTCAAGCGCTCACTCAACTGAACTTGGGCTCTGATACTATGATATATTTGAGGTGGGCCTGACTCCTCACCCAATAAGGCCTATTGAATGGGAGATTACCCCTTCTTATAACTCAATAGGCTTTAGCGTGCCTAGTCGATGTGACTCCAACAAAACAAAGGGCCCACCTCTTGTGGTGCAAATCCTATTTTCATATATGGCCAACTTCATACTGTTTTATTTATGTTACAGTTCTTATATGCATCAGCTCATGTCATGAAACTGCCGTTATTCCGACAAGCCTGTGAACTAGCGTTTGCTGAATGTGACACTGAAGGAAATGGTTACATTAAAGAGCATGAAGTATGTTGCTCTTTTCATAATTACTTTGCTTCACCTTTGATCTTCCTTATCCTTTATGAAAATTATGCTCAGATGAATTCTCACTTGCATTTTCTTGGTTTCTGTTTGATTTGGAAAACAGTTGGGATTAAACATTAGACCTGCCATCCCAGATTTGAACAAGGACGAGGTAAAAGAAACACTTGTTTATTAAAAAGAAAAAGTTATTTTATTAACAACAATAGAAGGTTTATATATTTGTTTAAAATATTATTGGGCAATAATATTGGAAGCCAACTTATGTGAAATGTGGTGCATGTAGATCCATGGTCTGTTCAGTTTATTTGACAGCGACGGTGATGGGGAGGTGAGCAAGGATGAATTCGTGTCCTCCCTACGAAAGAATCCTCTTCTAATAGCCGTATTTTCACCTAGTTTGTTGCACAGATACTTGTCAGGAGCTGACAATAGGACGTTGGAGATTGTTTGATTGATGAGTTTTAATGCCCCAGGTGGGGTTAGATGCTGTTTGTAATGTGTACCATTTGTATCCACATTTTTGGCAGCCGGGTTTGTTGCAGGGGAAGTGAGAGGGGAAGTGTTTTTAGTTGCTATTATAGCGGCCCCTTATAATCTTATAGATGAACATTTCCCCATAAGTTTTGATAATTTTATTTTATTAAACTCGGCAATCTCCTTGTTAGTTCTCCCTAATCTTTACTGTCTTTGTTTAAGTTTTTAGAATAGTATTCTATTGTAAATAGAATCAAATATGATAGAATTTTGAGAATGTGCAGATACATTTTAGAAAAATATTTAGATTATTTTTAACTCATTACATTTGTTAATTTAATTAAACAGCTTTCATAATAAAAGTTTATAAATTAACAAAAGCATTTTTATCCATTCAACTATTATCGACAATTGGTCACAATCGTTGGATGGTGGTCGAAAGCTGCCAAAAAAGCATTGGATTTAATTGATTATGCTTCGATCTGGTCTTTTTCAGTTAGATCTATTATAAATCTCGTTGAAAATTGTTAGATCTATGTCAAAACTCTAATAGTTGACAGTTGGGTGAGTGGGAGTGTTTTTTATTAATTTATAAATTTTAATTAAAAAAGTTAAATATTTAGAGTTGAATAGAATAAAATTAGATTTTGAATTTATCAGTTAATATTAAAATAAAAATGTATTTTATTAAATTGGATAGGATAATATTTAAAAAGTTAAACAAATCTTTCTTTTGTGGACTCCACATCACGTTCCTTGGCAACTGTAGAAAGCATGGGGCACGAAGGCCTGAGTTTATAACGACTTGAGCTTTAAGAACATCTAATACGGTACGATGTTTAAATGAAAGGGAAAAAAAATAAAAAAAACACCATTCATGTGAGTATCGTACACGTTTAGGGGGAAAAAAAATCGATCTTCAGCCATGAGTTTATTCGTTTCACAGAAACTGTTGGCAGGCAGATGGTAGAGAAAGTAAAGAGCAAAATACAGAAGTATTCTGTTGATATTAATTAATCAAAACGTTTTAAATGTTAGCAAACTTTGGTGGCTATAACTTCAACATCGTACAATCTATTATAGTGGAGTGGTTGATTTTTTTGTATGAATTATGAATCCCACCTACCTATTTGTATTCTATCAACAAATAAATACTATAAACCTGTTTCTGCACATACATAATAAATTCAACATGTTTTAGTCCTATACTAAATATTTTATTTTCAGAAATTAATGATTATCGAACCGACCCATCAATCTCCTCTGTGTTCGATAGTAACACAATAATTTCTTTCTAGCCTCTACAACCACACCACCAGTAGATACTGGTTTAAATCTTAATGTTCTCGAGGAAAAGTCAAATATTATTGATAAAGATGTCCACAAATTTTCTCAATATCCTTGTTCATTAGCAACAAAACATTTTCTTCGTGCATCAGCTTAAAAAAACATGTTTTTTAGGAGAAGTACCTTGGTGTGTTTGTTTTTTTATTTTGAGTAGTATTTTTGAAATATTATTGAAAATTAGAGTTAGGTGATTATTACGAAGTACAATTTAAAAATTAACAAAAAAACTCGTAGGTTTGCTAATTTAACTAAACATTCCAATATATAAAAAATTTATAAAATGACAAAAATACCCCCACCTACCCACAATGGCCAGATTTCATCCACCACCATCAGAATCTGGCGTTATGGCGCACGACTGATTGGATATGGCCAGTCGTTCGCCGTTCTGACATTTTCTGACTAGACCCACCATAAATTTGGCCGAAAAAGGCAAAATCGACACATTATCGACCAGTAGTGCACCATTGTGACATATTCCAGCCACCACCGACGATGGTTTCCGAAATCTGACAACTATGGGTGGGTATGAGTGTTTTTTCAATTTATAAATATTTTTGTTGAAGGTGTTTTTGTCAATTAACAAACTTAAGGGGTTTAAAAAGTTTATTAATTTAGAATATGATATTGAAAATAGGGAAACATGATAGAATTTGAGGTGGGCTTGACTCCTCACTCAATAAGGCCTTGTTGAATGGGAGGATTACCCCTTCTTATAACTCAATAGGCTTGAGTGTGCCTAGTCGATGTGGGACTCCAACACTCTCCCTCACGGTCAAGCCCATATATTGGGTCATGCTTGTTATTGGAGGTAGTTGCTGACTCTAACTCCTCACTCGCTGGTCAAGCGCTCAGCTCAACTGAACTTGGGCTCTGATACTATGATATAATTTGAGGTGGGCCTGACTCCTCACCCAATAAGGCCTTATTGAATGGGAGGATTACCCCTTCTTATAACTCAATAGGCTTTAGCGTGCCTAGTCGATGTGGGACTCCAACAAAACAAACACACATTTGTATTTAGAATAAGAATAGGATAGTGGTAAAATAACGAAACAAACGCAGCTAGTATTTTCACTGTTCAAGGTGTCTAGCATATTCATATCTAACCATTTTTCACAATATGGTGACGAAAGGTACTCTTGGTTACCTTTGTCTATTTTTGTTTATTTATTTATTTGGCAAATTAAATTATAAACGGAGAATATTCCAATTTCCAACCATATTTTTCATAAACAAACTTAGTTATGGCCCTAGGCTTTTTAATGTAGGAAAATAATAAAGACTTTTCTTTAAAAATATGTAATTTTGATTTTTAATAAAGGATGAATTATGGCTATGATGTGAGTGGAAAATTCTACTTCAATTATTGTGTTGATAAATAAATAAATAAATAAATAATACAATTTTTCATTTATTGGATTATTACTTGGTGTAGGTGTGTGACATAATTGGTGAAGTCAAATGGATCGTGAGATTGATATGATTCACATCACGTGTTTATTATATTTAAGTGGTCCAATGAAGGCGGATTCCTTTTTTTTAGAAGTGGACCACATAATTGATAGGCCCAATCCACCAAAGGACCACACCCTCACATTATTCAATTAATTTCAAATTGTATTTAAGAAACGCAACAAAATACATATATAAATAATACAAAATTTTATTTTTTTAAATAAATAAAATGTGAGTAGAATGAGAATATTAATAATGTATAAGTCAAACTGTAAATTGGAAAGCATCCACATTTGAAAGAACAAAAGAAGGTGACGCCAGATCAGTTAAAAATATATGACGTATTTATATACAGTAATATATATTTAAAGTTTAATTGGAAATAAATTAAATAATAGCAATAGCACGCGTTGTGGTCCCAAAACTTGAGCCTTCTGATATTCGAGAAAGCGACTTTTCCCACCCAAGCTTTGCCTTAATGACACTTTCCCACCTAAAAAGTTTCAAAATACCATTTTTTCACATAAAATTTATATTTCGTTACTACCCAAGCCGATTTCGGTGACAAAAATTCTCTACGTCATCACTATTTGAACCTCAGTCTCTTTTCTACAAAACTCCTCTCACTCCGACACTTGATTTCTTGTCGGTTGTCAACCACCCAAAGCTAAGATTTTCTGTTTGTAGCTGATATTTTGTTGATTCCGACAACGAATATTCAATTGATCACCACCCTTAGATCCATCTACCTCCACTCTATAAAACCCCTCTTATTCTAGCTCCTCATAACTCGTTGAACGCCAGTAGAGAAACTGAAGTGTATTTTGGGTATTAACGATATATCAACTTTGGGTGAAAAAATAGTATTTTAAAACTTTTTGGGTGGGAAAGTCATTAAGGCAAACCTTGGGTGGGAAAAAGTCATTTACTCTTTGATAATCTGACCAAAAAAACATAGTGAACATAATTATTCGTCACTCTTAACATGGAAGAAAATCAATCACCATATCTCGTTATAAAAAACTGTCACATACCACCCTTTAAATTGACTTCGTCAAGCTTTCCGTTCAACTGAGAGGGATATTTAAACATTGTGATTTTTTCAATTTCGTTGACCATTTTAACACACCAGTCGGCTCAAGAAAATTCAAATTAATATGGAAGAATCATTGTACAACAGCCAACAAGAAAATTGGTTATATTTCATAAGTTAATCAATGGAAGTTAATAAAGTTAGTTAGGGTAGAGGACGGTAGTGTGTAATATATTTTTTTAAAATTTAGGGTAGATATGTAATCTCTGAAAGTTCAAGGGTGGTAAAAAAAATTATCCCGTCTATTGAACATAATAGTAATACCCCTTTGTTATTTTAAAAAGACAAAGAACCCACTAACATGTTGATAACTGTCGGCACGACATCTGAGCAAATAATAAATAACTATATCAACTATTTTCTTTTAATGTAATGTTATAAAATTAATTTATTTGTTTTATAAATTAGCAAAATAAAACATGGTTTCCTGTAGACTATATTGGCAGTTGGTGTTTAAAGTCAAATATCAACCATAATCCCTTAGGAAATTGAATGCAGTGTATAAATCATAGTACGTTTGTTAAGATAAGAAAATATGTGGTTGGAAAAAGCCACGTGGCACCAATGATTTATGTTAATTTTTGTATGAATATGAAACCGATGGGTAAAACCGTAAAAGTGTCGGAGATGAGAAACCACAGAAAAAGGGTAATAGAGTAAATATAGTGATATTTGTGTCTCTTATTCCTCCATTGAAAGTCATCACTCATCACTATGCTTTATGCGTTTTCGATATCTTATTGGCTCTATAGTACCTTCTTGTACGGACGATGTTGACGTGTTCTCATTTCTATTTAACCCACTTGTTTTTGCTGTTTTTGTTTTATTAAATTATTATTTTTATTACTATAAAAAGACTTCATTTCATTTCACACCACCTCTCTCAAGTCATCCGCACGATCCTCTTTTAACCTTTATTCTTCTTTCTTTCTCTGCTTTAACTTTTATTTTATTTTATTTTATTTTTTCATTTTTTTCATGTAGGTTTTACCAAAAGGAGAAAACCATTAGGTTTTGTAATTTTCGTATTATTTTATTATTTATTTTGTTTCTTTAAATAGGTGGAGTTTGAGGATAGATGAATAAGGAAAGGTAGTTGAGTGAGTGGGGAATGCTTGCTCCCTTGGTGGTGACTTGAATAATTATTTTTATAAATTTATTAAAGGATCAAAAAAAAAAAAAGGAAGAAGAGAAGAAAAACCTTTGAATCAATCAATCAAGAGAAAAACCTAGTTGCTTTTTTTCTCTGTAATATCTTTGGCCTCAAATCCTTGGATTTTATTTGTTAATTTTTCTTCCCTTCTTTTGGTGTCTTCCGTAATCTCTGGGTTTTTTTTTCCCATTTGGTGAGTAACTTCTGCTTATCTGTTTGGCTTTCTTCACAGGTGTTTGGATTGGAGAAGAATCAATCAGAACTGATCATATCTGACTTATTTGTTCAGGTTTTCCTTACAGCTCTTAGTATTTCCTCATCTTTTTTTGGCCTTACAGCTCTTAGATTTCCTTCTCTTTTTTTGGCTTTTCTCTTCCCATCAAGTCATCAACAGCTCCTCCTTTGCCCACCTATTTGGTAAGTTGTTAAATCTAAAACTCAGAGACATTTGTTTTCTTCTCAAAGCTTTTTATATAACCAAAATTCTGATTTTCTCGGCAAAACTTTCCTGGGTTTGGCCCATCACCTCCAACTCTTAGTCTTCTTTCTCACTCTCTGCAACACATGCTATATATGTTAATGAATCTACTTTGTTTCTACGCAGGCTTATCGAAATGGTGAGAGGAAAAACTCAAATGAGACGCATAGAGAACGCGACTAGCAGGCAAGTTACCTTCTCGAAGCGGCGAAATGGGCTGTTAAAGAAAGCCTTTGAGCTTTCCGTTCTTTGCGATGCGGAGGTTGCCCTTATCATCTTCTCTCCTAGAGGAAAGCTCTATGAATTTGCAAGTTCCAGGTATATACAAACCTTTTATCCTACTTAATATTTCTCTATTTAGTTGCTATAAACTTCTATTCTTTATTTTAATTTTAATTTTCACTACTTCATATATAGGATTGAATGATCTTAGCATCTTTCTGTGAAGTCCTCTCTACACACAAAACAAATTAAAGTCCACATAGTTCATATTTTTTTGCTTCTCCAATCTCTACATCTCACTGAGTTGTCAAGTTTTTCCAAATCTATATAATCATTCGCCAAGCAAACATAACATATGCTTTTTGAGGCCAAGTAAAGGACATTGTGTAATTCGATCTACAGCGAGTAGTCGTCAATTTCAATATGATGGAGTTCCTTCTTGTTAATAACAGTATTCTTTTTAGACCAAATGAAGCCAGTTGTCTGGTTAATTACACTGTACGTTGTTAGTTTCTGCAACTCTAGAGTTAATGACTGTTTAAGTCCTGGACTTATAGTAGGCTACACCTAAAATTACAAACAATACGCTGGAAAGAGAGATTTCGATCACTTCTCAATTTCCCTGTACAAAATGGCTAGGGATGACCCCTTTTTATAGTGTTAAAAGAGTCTTTTACATTTCTAACTCCCAATTTCCCTTAATTAATATCATTTACCACGTTCCACGATAAATATATAGCTAAGAACTCTCTAATAAATAAGAATTTTTTTTACAAGATCTTTCTAGGGACAAGGTCTACTATTTGGGCTAAATACGTTGGCTTATTATTCAGCACAATAATGTGGAAATCACGAGGGAAGAACACCTTTACAGTAGAGCCAGTTGCTTATACGATACAGTAACAAAATAATTAGTGTACTTAATTACTCGTATTTACTTACTCTATGCTTACCTTGTAAAGTTTCATTTTTTGGTAATAAGCCAAATATTCAGAACAACATAATATTTGTCCAGTCATTCAATCATAAATTTTTAAGGATCCTAATATTAATAACTGAGAGAGGAATATTGGTCATGGATTCTCCATAGTTATTAATATTGGAGCCAAATGTCCGTATATGTGTGTGAGTGTGACTTGTTACTAACAAAGCATTCATTTAATTTCCACCAGAAGTATGATACTGTATGTATGCACCCATTAATATTTCCTTGTGGATATAGTGTTACTCCGCAACAGATTTTGTCCTTCTCCCTTATCTGCTATTAAAGAAGGTAGCTAGCTGGAGGAAAAAAAGTTAGAAGTTAGTATGATTCAACCATTGTGTTTTGCTGTTTGATTTAGAAATTTTAAGCTTTGATCATCCCTTTGAGCCTTCTTCTAGAATCGTATACCATGTACATTTTGTTCCTGTAGCTAAATTGATGCGAGCCTTGTGTATATATATTCCATGACGTAGAAATGGAAACAGTGAAATGATTGGTGTCAGAATTAAATTTCTTTATAATCTATGGTCGCTCATGAACATGTAATATGGATAAACATATTTATAGATCATATTGTATGATTTTGTGGGATATTAAAATTAATATTATAATATTTGAAATATGCAAATTGGAATATACACTTGTGATGTATATCAATATTATAAGAGATTTGCAATTTTATGTTATTACTTGGGGAGGAGTAATAATATTTTGTTTGCTATCCACGATATTGTATTATTTATTTGATATAGACAAATAGTTGAAGGGAATTCTCAAAAGAGAAAATTGATTTATGGGAGTGTGTCACTTGATCTATTTATTGAGCTCTGCAGAAGTATGTTTTTATCTTTTCATGATCATACCCTTAAACGTGTTTTGTTTCAACCGCTTCTATGAAGAGGATAGCGCTAGACTCTTTCGTTTAAAATAGAATTATTTCTATGATCACACCCAAACATACCGTGCAAACTTAAAATACAAAATATTACAGTATAGAAATATACTGATTACAATATAGAGTAAATATTTAGTAACAAATTAGTATTGTCGAGATAGTATCACAAATCACATTTTTAACATATGCTTGAAAAAAAATACTAAATTTATATATTAATAGGAGCAAAACAATTTGTAATTGAGCATAATATTATGATCTTTATGCTTTGAGTAAATGTGACAGTGTAAATATATGTGGTGATTGTGTTGTGGGTGGACTTTATAATTCAGCATGCAGGAGACAATAGGACGTTATTTGAGGCATACAAGAGATTCTCGGGCCAGCAAGCAGCCAACTGAAGAAACCATGCAGGTTATACTTGTATATATGTCTCTTCATCTTCTTTTCATTTATACTACCAATATTCTTTTTAAAGTGTTTGCGAATAAAGCGACTATTTCAAGCACCATCTCTTCTCAGTATTACTTTTAACGGATTGAACCCCTGAATCATATTTATTTATGTTTGAGATTGATTAAAAAGTGACAGAACAGATGGTTATATTGGCTGTTAGCATGCGTGGTATGCCTGTAGAACTTCTATTTTGTGTTTTCTCACAGTCACAGACGTTGATTTGAAATGGCAGCAAATGAAGAGTGAAGCAGCTAACATGCTGAAGAAGATAGAGCAACTTGAAGTTTTAAAACGGTGAAAAATCTTATTTGAATAAATCTTTTATTTTTCCGCGAGTTATGTTAGATGGAAGAAGGATTTGAAAATTTTTGTTTTGAAATGCCTTAGGAAACTATTGGGAGAAGGTCTGGGATCATGTTCTATTGAAGAACTACAACAGATAGAACAACAGTTGGAGAAGAGCGTCAGCAACATACGCGCAAGGAAGGTTCATCTTATAAACCAACCCTTCTATTATAATCTTCCTTGTTTAATTGATATTCTATTCATAAAATGAAAAATTTAACATACTAATCTTTTTCTATTTTTGTTTCAGACACAAGTTTTCAAGGAAAAAATTGAGCAGCTCAGAGAAAAGGTAAGATTCGAGACGTTAAAATATACTAATGCATGCTAGGTCAGCCCATTTAAGTCAATATTTAGAGGAGAATATATAATTAGAAGGCTAATACTGCACTTTCAACTTAATCTTACAAATTTTCTTTTATAATCCCGACGTGATAGCTTGTAATGGGTCTCGCTATCCACTCAATTGTGAGTTGACTAATCGCTAGCTATCTCGTTGGGGTTGTGAGAAAAAAGTTTGTAAAATTGAGTTGTGAGTCGATTTTTATTGTATTTAGAAAGTCAGATTCGAGACAGGTTTTCTGAATCTTGTACAAGTTTTACATGAAAGTGAGAGTGAAATACAAAAAGAGAAAAGGGGGATGTTTTAATGTTAACAAATTATGAGAAGATTTAGGGGTGGAGAGAAAGAAGAGGATGGATGTTTCGTTACTTCATTTGTGGCGAATCCTGAATCCAAATATCCAAGTTTCTTTGCCCAGTAAATGAATTGTGTTTCAATTAAGATGGTTGCCGTCTTCATTTGGCGCTTGCTAACTTCTACATTTTTCCTTTTTAAATATTTCAGGAGAAAATGCTAGCAGCTGAAAATTTAAGGCTGACTGAGAAGGTGAGATTTCTGTATATAAATTAATGTCTAGAAATTGAAGAGAGTGATGTGTAAAAATGATGATTTGCAGAGTGTTATGCAAGTTGAAACATTGGATGGATCGAAAGAGCTGGGAAACAGCGAAAATATAGGGGATGATAGTAATCCAGTTTCAGATGTGGAGACTGAATTGTTCATTGGTCCACCGCCAGAAAGAAGAGCAAGGCGTTTCCCACTCCGCCCATGAGATGAGCCCAACAACATCCCCCAACTGTTTCTATGACTGCCGCCAGCTTTTATCAATATATATATATATATACACTATATATATATATATATATATATATATAAAACAATATTAACAGTATATAGTCAAAGTAATTGTATGCCTTATCATTTGAAACCAACCATTCTAATTTTTATCAAATAATGCTACTGCTTAAATGTATGTAATATTAGTTTTCATCGAGTTTCTTCAGGTTGTTTTTCAAATGTTAATAATTATTTCAGTTAATTTATGACTTCCCAATTGTCCTTCCACCATTCCAAGCATTTACTTGTTATCTGTGGGGTTATCCATCAGAGAATCATGTATTCAGAAGCACATACTGTCTATAACTGCTTTGATTTTAATTATTTGATTACGTTATAGGTTTAATATCATTAAACGTAGCAGTGCCAATTGATTAATATATTTTTATTCTCGGCCCACACAGCACAACCCAACCTACTACAGTCAGAAACCCACAAAATTTTCACGGGTCCAAATTTGATCCATAACTTTCGGGCTCAGGCAACATGCAGATCACATTAAAAAACATTGGAGTCAAACTAAGTATTTCATCTTACTAGTCAAACGATTATGACGTCTGTTTAAGCATAACACTCACCGGAGGCTGCACGTCTTAAATGCATTTAAGCATATTTGATGCTGTACAAATATCATAAGTATGTGCGAAATATCTAGGCAAATTATTACAAATCCCACATTAATTAATAGAGAAAAACTATATATAAGGCATGCTAATAGTAATGGATTCTTTTCTGAGTGTTCAAAGGACCCATCCCTGGATGAAGTTGGTTTCACCAACCATAGTCTTCGGCCCTGAAGATCCTTCAGCAGGAACAAAGTNCATGAGATGAGCCCAACAACATCCCCCAACTGTTTCTATGACTGCCGCCAGCTTTTATCAATATATATATATATATACACTATATATATATATATATATATATATATAAAACAATATTAACAGTATATAGTCAAAGTAATTGTATGCCTTATCATTTGAAACCAACCATTCTAATTTTTATCAAATAATGCTACTGCTTAAATGTATGTAATATTAGTTTTCATCGAGTTTCTTCAGGTTGTTTTTCAAATGTTAATAATTATTTCAGTTAATTTATGACTTCCCAATTGTCCTTCCACCATTCCAAGCATTTACTTGTTATCTGTGGGGTTATCCATCAGAGAATCATGTATTCAGAAGCACATACTGTCTATAACTGCTTTGATTTTAATTATTTGATTACGTTATAGGTTTAATATCATTAAACGTTTCGATAGGTGCTGATTTTTATTCTCGGCCCACTAACATAGGCGCAGCACAACCGAACCAACTACAGTCAGAAACCCACAAAATTTTCACGGGTCCAAATTTGATCCATAACTTTCGGGCTCAGGCAACATGCAGATCACATTAAAAAACATTGGAGTCAAACTAAGTATTTCATCTTACTAGTCAAACGATTATGACGTCTGTTTAAGCATAACACTCACCGGAGGCTGCACGTCTTAAATGCATTTAAGCATATTTGATGCTGTACAAATATCATAAGTATGTGCGAAATATCTAGGCAAATTATTACAAATCCCACATTAATTAATAGAGAAAAACTATATATAAGGCATGCTAATAGTAATGGATTCTTTTCTGAGTGTTCAAAGGACCCAACCCTGGATGAAGTTGGTCTCACCAACCATAGTCTTCGGCCCTGAAGATCCTTCAGCAGGAACAAAGTGGTGGTGCCTGCATTCATACCAAACATTTAAACCTTCATGAGATTCTGTAAACATTGTAAAAAACATAAATTATTTATGGCGCAAAATTATATTTATATGCATCATAGGAGTGTACCCAATCTGTAAAATAGGCTCGTGTTCACAGTTGATAGGGCTTTCATGTGAAGGATGGAGAGGGAAGCTGGTATTTCCAGCAGCAGCAGCTGCACTAGAACCCCATAAATCTTGAATGGCTTTCAGATTTAGTCCTTCTGTCTCCAGCTGGAAAAAACACTAAATATGGTTACTGAAGGATTATCGAGACAGAAATAATTGTCATGATTAATGAAAACAGTTCAAGAACAACCTTGATCTTGAGTTGCTTGTTTATGTCTCCAAGCTGACGCTCCTGCCATCATTAACCAGATGGTCGTAATTATCACACCAAAATATGATGTAGATCGAACATAGATTTACATAAAAGCCTCAATAAAACAAACACATTCTCTTTTGCTGCCCAGGAAATCATAAAAAACTGAACGTAAAACAGTTGCAGTCTAAATTATATAAAGGGAAATTACTATTGTGTACGTTATGTTAGCTCTTAGCCTTAAAACTTTCAAGCAGCATGCATTAACTCTCAAACAGGTGACAAACCAAATTTATAGATTATGATCTAATCAATTAAGGGAAAAATCATCTTAGAACCATTCTAGAATCCCGTGATTATCTTCTTAAGGTTATGATTACGAGGGAATAAGGAAATCCTGTCACGAAAAAGAAATGAAATGTTACTCTCTTTTTCCTCCATCAAGTATATCATTACTTCAGATTAATCCTATGTTCGTAAGGCTGATAAGTGCATAAAGCTTATCAACACAAGTTTCTAGGCAAATATATATATCAAGCCTACTTCAAATTTTGAAAAAAAAAAAAAAAAAAATGTTATTAATCTAATTATAGTTCAAATTTCAACACAAACCCTAGTCCACATACTGGTTTGTATGTGTTTTTATATTTTTGAAGAAATTACATATCCTGAGTCACCAAGATGTCCTATATATATAAGGACACTACATACAAAGATGAGATATGAATTGGCATACCTTTTTGCGAAGTTCTTCCATTTGCTCGACCATAATCTGATTCTGCAGTTAGGCACAAAAGGAAAGAATAATAAATCTAAAATTTTCACTTCTTAATTAGCAATGTGAGCTTCTTATTTGGTGTTCGATAACGAGCACCCAGCAGTTAAAGATATAGTTCTTTATGACTCTAAAAGTTGTACCATTTGCTTGCGCATCATCATTTGCAATATTTATAGCTTTATATACATATATACTTGTACAGCCATAACAAAAGTAGAATAATATTTATAAATAATAGTTTGTATATACGTAGTTGAACACATGCATGTACCTTCCTCTGCCTAGCCAGTGCAAGAGCTCCTTCAAGCTGTTTCTCAAGATTTTGCAGCTCTTTCACACTCAGTGGTCCAAGATCCTCTCCAAGCAAATTCCTAAGCAATTTATAGATCAATTATAAAACCTTACGGTGGTATTTATATATATGCCGTTACAAAGCAATAACAAACACAGCTAACAGCATTTTTGTTTTTCTGAAAGATATGTATATAATTAGTGAAACCTTTGTGTGCGTTGAAGAGATTCATATTTTGATTTCAACTTTGTTACCTCCTGGTACCAGCTCTGCCAGAAAATTAACGTAGTAATTAGGAGCACAAAAGTAAATGTGAAGAGTTATGAACTAATTAAAGTATGAATCTGTCCACTCTATTGGCAAACATATATCAATCACCATAACATTTATGGAAGCAAATAACAAACAAACATTATTATGTTGAGTGGTCCGATGATATCAACTGTTCAACTTAATATTAAAAAGATGAAACATGAAAAATTCAGCATGAACTCAAGTATATATGAGACCGATTATCCTGAACAAACAATGCTATGTTACATATAAAGAGACTACTATTACGTGCATTATAAGTTTGAGGAAAAAAAAAAAAGAGGAAACATAAACCTGTGTTTCACGTTCGATACTGTTGTCCTGAGGATTGAAGCAGCAACGTTGGTATCGTTCAAGGGTTTTGCTTATACTGTAGACACAAAGTGCAAATCGTCAATTAACCCGTGTTTGTTCAGTTGCTTGCAATGTGCATGACTAAAATATATATTGAATATATATGGTTTCAAAATTAAGCAGTACAAGCTTCAAAGAATAATTCACCCATCATCTAAAAAATTAATCCAAAAGAAAATAAAGAATGAGCAAGCAAATGTGGATCTTCCAAGAAGTTTTATCATTAATTAATTAATGGGTATACCAGGTTATTCATAATACCTCTCCCCCATCAACTAGTTTCAATTCAATCCAGAAATTTAACAATTTTTAGCTCAACCTTAGCAATAACTGTGTTCTCACAAAATAAGAAAACAATTAACGAGCAACTTCAATGAATTTTTGCACTGTCAAAACAAGAACATGTATATAATTTTGATATAACTAAGGATTGGGATGATGTAACTTAAATTTATAAGCAAATTGTGAACTAAAATCCATCATATACTAATAGTTTAGAAAACGTATATATAAATTATTTCTAAGCCAATGGACTGTGATGCATGATTAATTATTTGCGTAAAAATTTTAAGTTACAACATCTTAATCATAAGGACTGTATCAAATACATCATCCAACATTGTTACACAACCATGGAAAATTAAAAGTATTCCTTTTAGAAATAAATTATCTAAATTTTTCCCAGTAAACAAATATTCTTTTTATATATATACACTAACTTTATAAATAGAATTACATAGACTTTATACGGTAACTTTTTACAAATAGATAATAATAATAACAATAAACAAACAAACAATTTTTTTTTTTTTTTTTTTAATTGCAGTACACCTTTGAACTTGTCTTATGAAAAGACAAAGACTTAGATGTTTTAAAACATATGATCTTCTCTTAGAACTTTCTTTTATAAACAAAATCGAACTCCATGGGGTCATTCTGTTCTGCCCAAAATAAGACCATAGATGTGTTAATTTTATGTGCTTAAAGCCATTTGGATAATTTTCTCTCGTCTTAATCCTTCATTAGCCGTTATACCAAAAAAATTTATTCAAAGCTACATCCCTCCAAGTTCTACTTTGACACAGAAAATGGAAATATACATTTAGCTTATGCTGGATAGTTAAATTTTTTGCTAAAAAAGTTGAACTTAGTTTTTTTTAACAAGAAATAACAATTTATTTTAAAAGCTTTTAGGCAAAAGAAAACAGCTATACTAAGTTCTACACAGAATCATTCAATAAAACATCTCGATAAAATTGTTGGAAATGTTTCGGGAAATAAAAGTAATGAGGTTACTCAAAATCATCTCCTGAGTCAAACAAGTAGCACCATTTTATGCTAAACACATCAGAAGTTTTTTTCCCGAAATATTTCAATTTTTACGTTACAGATTTACCCTATTGCATATCAACAGCAAGACGTAACAGTTTCCTTTTCATCAGATTTTTTTCCGTTATAGGCAAACATACAAGCATTTCTATACATGAAAAACATTGAAGATATGAAATAGAGCTGAGAGCACAGAGAAAACAGACCAGTGATGGAACCAAGAGATGTAAGAGGAAAGATTCAGTTATGAATCTTGAAGTTCTCTATGTCGCTACCCAGCTTTGGAGTGAGACAAAGAGTGATATCAAAGAAGACATATAGATCAAAACTTTGATATTATTAATTTTCTAAAACTGAAAAACACCAGCCACCAACTATAAACTTGTCTTTTTGAGAGAGAAAGGCAGATTTTATAATCCAAAAAAAAAAAAAAACCTTAGGGCAGAATGATATAGAATTTCCTTGGCTTGATTTGCCACCATTAACCATAGAAACATATATTATTTAATAATGAAGGAAAAGAACAGAAAAAAAAAAAAAAAAAAAAAGGAGAACATTGATATAACCAGAAGATCAAAGGCTTAAAAGAGATGAAGAAGACTAGAGTCGGTTCATGAACTTTCTGTGAACAACAGTGTGGAAGCTTTATTATAATGTTTCTGTGTAGAGAGAGAAAAAGAAAAAGAGGCAAAACCCTAGATCTTGCACAGAGGTCGGAGTGAAAAAAATTGAAGGAAAACCTAGTCAGTTAGTGAAGTCTGAAATCATTTGGATATCTCCTGCGAACCCAGGCTCAGGCTCAGGCTCAGCAGAGAGAGAAAGGGTTTGCAAAGGACGATGAAACGTGTCGATATGTCATTGGAACAAGATACTGATTCGAACAAGAAACAAGCGGAAACCCCCCGCAAAAGGCCGAAAATCACAGCAGGAAAACAACCAGAAAATAATATCAAGAGTTCTTAAAGAAAAAGACGTGTCAGAAACATATTTTGAAAGAGAAGAAATTACTTTAGCTTTACAAAGAGAAAAAAAGAAAGAGGTCATAGTTCTGAGTTAACATATAATAACAATACATGCATGATTTTATTTAACAGGACTCACAATCAAAATATATGAAGCATAAAATAGTAAACTAAAGAGAAAATAAAAAAAAAAGAAGAAAAAAATTTAGATATATACCCAGCACTACCAAACTCATAGAGTTTGCCACGGCTAGAGAAGATGATAAGAGCAACTTCGGCATCACACAGTACAGAAAGCTCATAAGCTTTCTTCAGCAAACCATTTCTTCTCTTAGAGAAGGTAACCTGCCTGTTAATCTTGTTCTCAATTCTCTTAAGCTCCACTCTTCCTCTCCCCATTTTTTGCACTTTTCTTAGAGATGTTTTTTATTATATATTTATATCTTGTTTAAGAAATTAGACAAAAATGGTGCTGAGAATGAGAGGTAGTGATGGTGAGAAATGGAAGATATTGTAGGAGAGAAAGCACACTGAGATCTTCGTTAATTTACAATAAAATGGAAACTCAGTTATTTCTTCTTTTCTCTTGTTCTCTTTTCCATTTTAATTTTAGAAATATCTATCCCTCTCTTTGTCAAGTTTCCTTCTGTGAGAAATTAAAGTTTCACCTCCCTCCCCCCACCCATCTCAGATGCGTGTGCTCACGCTCCTGCCAATAGGAATCAATATGACGTTGTTTTTCATGTGGCATGCGACTGACAATTGATTTGAGGTTATAAATATTTTATTATTTGGGAAATCCTTTGCTTTGAATTCAGTAATTCTCGTTCAAATGATCATAAAAAAGGTAAAATTTATCATCACCATACATCAAATATAGATATAGAGGTCTAGACTTGTTTTACGGTAGCTGCTGGCACTGGAGAACTAGTGGAGGTAAGGTATTGGCGCATCTTTTGTACGGACTGGGGCCAATAACGCAGTTCCAGTGGCTGTAATTTCCAACTTTTCGTTCAAATTCCACTACGCCACATCAATAGACAAAAAACAAAAAAAAAAAAGTAAATTCTAATTCCTTCTTGTGAGGGAATACAATTGCAAAGTCCAAATATTTTCTTTACATATGGTTCGTTAATTACTCAGTATATTACTAACACTGCTCGTCTGCTCCTTTTATATATATTGAATAACTCAAGGAATAGAATGGAGCGAGTCTCCTTCACCGCCGCTGAGACCAATCCTTTGGGTTACTTTTTTCTGTGAGTTTCAAAATCCTATAACAATGACAAACTGAGAAGCGAGTCAGCGACAACCTGTGGATTGTACATTATTAACATCTTTTTAGTCGATGGACAATGGATGGAGTTTGCAGATAATAAGGTACAAGTGCAATACTTGAAACAGCAGCAGTACTATTTGTGACCCAGCTTAATATCTTTCTTCTTTTTCAGGGTGTTTTTTAACGGCAAAAAAATAGTGAACTGAGCTAACAGTACAATTTTTAACCCCTAAGTTTCTATGCTTGATTAAGAGATCAAGTAGCTCGTATATAATTAATAATAATAATATAACATAATTGGAACTTATTCAATCAGTCACATAAATATAATCCCCAAGCTTTGTGTTCCCAACATGAAAACTAGGCAAGTTTAGTGAAGTAAATTGACAGCCATTGACTGTCCAAGAATTAAGATTGCTTCAATTCAAAGACTGTTTTCTTTTTTAATCTGAATCATATTCTTGTTATCGCCAAAAAAAGATGAAAATAATTTGCTCATCATTTTCTTTCTTCTATCCATCATTTTATCAAATTTTTTTAATTAAATTGGGAGAATTCTATAGTACAGACAGCAGGGGCGGCAAAGGAGAGAAAGGATGAAAGAACGTACTGAAGGTTGATTGATGGATATCGGTCCAGCGTCGGCCACGTGTCCCCACTTGATGCATTGTTACATGTTAATTTATCTTCTCCTCATTTCCTTCATTGTATATTGCCCGATACAGCTATTTCCCGTGCAAGCTGGAAATTACTAACTTTAAATTACCGTGTTTATTTATTTATAAATCAAAGTTTAGGAAATGGGCTACATTGGATTTTAAGTTGTTTATTTATTTTATTTTTTTTACGCACGCTATAATTTTAGGTTAATCATGTTTGTAATTCAACTCAGTATCGGTAAATAAAAACGTGGAATTTTAATTTCATAAACTGGCATTTAATTACACAAAATTAATGTCTTCGGGCCTAGAATTTGCAACTATATAAGAGTGTGTTACGGATTGTTGAAGCTTAAGAAATAATAAATTATTTTTTAAGCTTTTAAAATAGATTAAGTTTGAAGTTAGATTATAAAATAAGAGTGATGATATGGGTACTAACGGATGGGTACTAATCTATGTACTAACTAAAGCATAGTACTCGTACTATGCATATAGTACCCGTACTATGCATATAGTACCTGTACTATGCTTTAGTTAGTACACAGATTAGTACCCATTCATTAGTACCCAAAGTATTATTCATAAAATAATTAGTTTTATAAAAAGATTCAAAATATATGATGGATAATTTTTAAAGCTAACTTTACATTGTAAAAGGACAAATACACATACATAATTCTTCTAGTTACAAAATTAACTTTAATAATCATTTAAACACGGGTCAAAGGTGGTGCCTTGGCACCACATCCAATTCAGAGATAATTGGAAATTGTCAATCTGTTAGAATTTGGTTGAATCACTGGATTCCAACATGTTATTTGGTTGTATGACGTGGTCAAAGCTTTTGTCACCTTTTACGGTTGAAATAGCATCTACATACAGTGTATTCATCGAATTCTTATAGATTAGGATTTACCGATTCTTGTAGAAACAGTTGTGTCCTCAATACTCCATCATTGATCGGTGTTAACCAGATTTAACAATGGTTGAATGCCAATGACTAATCCAATATTTTAAATTTTTTATTATTAATCAATTACTAATTTTTTTAAAACATTTTGAAATATTTGTTAAATACTTATCAAAATAAAAAATTTAAATTATAAAAGTGTTTTAAGAGATAAAATATATTTTTTTAGTCAATCAATAATTTCAAAATCTGTTTCATCAAATACACAATCATAGAATTTGAAAATCACAACAATTATAAAAGTTTTATTTACCAAATACATTAAAAATTATTTCAAAAAAATGATTATGTTCAAGGTGGGTAAAATGTCATCAAAATTAAAGCTACAACAATCCTATATTAGTCCGCAATGCTATAACAACTATGACAATTAATACAGATGTGAAATTTAAATGTAGGGGAGAGCGGAAAAAGGATTCGTACGTAACACGTTATACATAATTAGCATACGGTAAAAAGCCCGTAACGGGTTGGTTCTAGCTGTTGGGTGTTGCATAAAAAGGAAGGGTAAATATCACCATTACCGTTCCGCCTTCCCGGCCGGTACCGTGTTAGAGTGCCAAAACAGCCGTCAATTATTAATTTATTATAGGAATTATTGTTATTGTTAAACCAATTATAACCTGACATGATTAATAGTGGGTTCCAATTACATGTCAACTTTCAATCAAAATCAGATGATTAAACTTGATCTCTCACCGACAAACCGAATATATCCAAAGCTCTGCTAAATTAATTAAATAACTAAATTAATTTCTTTAATTATTATCAATTGATATTTGTAATATATATTTTTTTAATTTTTTATTCGCATGTCACGTTTCACACTCAAATCAAAAATTAAATGGACGGAAGGATGGACAGTAACGAAAGTCAGTAAATCAGGTGGGCGTGATTACTGTGACCATCACATTTCACAACAGAGAATCAAATCAAATCACCTGGACCACAACAATCCACCTTTATTTGGGTCTATTCATATTCATATTCGTAATTCATTTGCTACAACGCAACCAGTCATCGTGTTTGTCACCTCCATTTTTGCCTCTATGTAGCTCTCTTGCCTCCTGATTCGCCTGTGTTCTTCACGCCTGTAACTATTGGATTTCTTCGTAACTCAGTTAATCTTTTGCGGAGTCTAAAACTCACTGGTAATCTTAATTAACAAACGTAGGGACTCAATCCGAAGATGATGTTAGATTCTCCTCTTATTCTTTTATCATCGAGAAAATTTGAACTTGAAATATTATATTAAATTATTATTTACTTTTTTATCATCAGACCACTTAATAGTGGTTACAACTTATTAATGTTTTGGTGTCTGTGCTGTAAATATTTATCTACTACAAAATCGTATTATTAGATAAGAACCTAGGTTAAGGAAACAGTTTTAATATTCATGCCAAATTTTATCACTAGATAATTGGCATGCATTACATATACTCACAATTTTGCATTTAAAATATAAATAATACCACAACTCCTAACTTGTTATTAAGTTGTCAGCAATGCTGCTAAAATAAAATCAAAGATTGTTTGGCCAAGGCAACAACGTACCATACATGCTCCAATTCAGGCCAATCCATCACAGTCCATGTTAGTTTATAAGTTTACATGCTCAGGTTCCCCTTCAATTATATATCCAACTCATTCACAGCTAAAGCTGTGCCTTTTTGACAAATTATCTCTTTAAAAGGTGCCACAAGGTTTGCCAAACATGCTAAATTTTAACAACATTGGCATAAATGGTTGGTTCATAACTTCATACTTGTTTAGTGGTCCAACAATCCTTATAGCCTAATGCAACAAGATGGTGGTTAGGGTTTATTATTTATAGAAAACTTTGATTGCGCTGAATAAAGCTTCTTTAATGCAAAATTTCTATTTTTCGCCTTAGCGTTTACTGTCATCTCAGTTTTACAACTATTACCACTAAGCACGCTTACTTTGTTTCCTTGCAATGAATTGAAAGAAACAACAAATAGTATACTACACAGCTAGCTCTTGGAATTACCCTCTTGTCTTCCTTTTATTATATTGATTACCATTTCACTTTATTTCTTCTTTGGTAGTTGAAGTTGAACCATTTGGTGACAGAACAATATTTAGGCCAAAAAAAGAAAAAGAAACTTTGAATCCAATGGGTCCTCTTCCTTTGATGGCAATGCAGCTCATGTGGGTGGGGCATATTTATATATAACATGACATAATGTTTCAATTCCGCCCCATATTAATTGTCTTGCAATCTGTTCTCCCATAGTTTATCTGAAATCTGAAACCTTCAATTTTTGTCAAGTTTTTTACTTGAAATAAACAATAAGGGAACAAAATTAAAGTTTATTAGTTAACTAGATGGAAGGCCCACGGGTATGTTTAGTGGTTGTTTTTGAAACAATTTGTAAATAGCTTTGTATGTTTGTTTTATTATTTTGGGTAAGATTTTTCAAAAAATTGAGTTTGATGATTATTACGAGGTAAGATTTGAAAATTAACAAAAACACTCTCTAGTTTTGTTAATTTAGCTAATCACTCCTACAATAAAACATTGAAAATTAACAAAAACACATCTACCCATCTATTAAAAGTTGACAGCCGGCCACCATCGTCGGAGGGTAGGTGAGGGTGTTTTTGTCAATTTTTAAACTTTTTTTTTTTGTTACGGATGTTTAGTTAAATTAACAAACCTAAAGGGTTTAAAATAGTTAAATAAAATACAATAGGATTTTCAAAATAGGGAAATAAATATGAATTTTGGATAGGATTTTTGAAATCCTACCCAAAATAGAGAAACAAATACCCTTGATTATTGTAAAGTTTTAGTGGTATGCTAATGCACGTGTTTGCGGGTTATTGGTCTGACCTATTTGCAAAGGTTCTCAAATCCCATGTAATCATGCGCTTCAATCTTCTCGATCATGTTTGATATGCCAACCCTACATATCAATAGAAGAAAATATCAGTTTTGGGCTTTGTCCAAGTAAAATGATATCTGAATGAAAATGATATTATTAAGCCAGACAACAGGGAGATTATCACTAACCTAAAGATATTGCACTAACAAATATGGTAAAGGCTAAAATGAAGATGATAAGTGATGCTCTTCCCAATAAAATAATTAGTTTTCTCACAATATGCTGCCAATTAAAGTAACAACGGTAGCCATAACAACAAAGTAGAGAGTTGCCAAAGAAAGTAAAAAATCAATTGAAATTAGATCAACCATAAATCCAACATCTAGATGCAAATTACATTGTGTTCTTTGGAAATGTGTTTTTCTGATGTTTAGAAATTACAAAAGTACGAATAATTGTGCAATTTCGGTGCTAGTGGGTCGCTTATTGTAAGAGATAAGAAAATGTTTCAGAAGGTAATATTCTACAATTGACATAGATGAGGAGAAGGTCATAGCAAAGGTGCACTTGATACCTGCATAGAAGTCATCAAAAAGATTAAAACAAAAACATAAAATAAAGATAATAATTGACCATTTGTACCTGTAAAGTTTCCTCAAACAAATGCATGGGAAGCATATATGAGTTTACAAGGAAAAGAAAAGGCTATCAGAGCAGGTCTAGAGACAAAATTTATAAAATATAATGAATCTAACAACATTTTAGGCTCTTCGAAGAACTTTGAAGATCCTCAATTTTTTATGTACAACTTAGTTAGAAACAAAAGAATAGCATTTAGGTGAAAGAACAAACCACAAATCTTTTAGCAAAATGATAGTAACCTCTTCCCACACTATAATGAGATTTCCCTTTTGTTACATCGGACACCAATCTAATTCAAAAGCACAACCAAATAAACATCAAAATAAGTAATTGCTAAACCAGTTCTTATAGGTAAAATCACATATAACAGAGAATAAAAGTTAATACCCAAGAATGCCTAAGAGAATCGGTCTCGAGTCATCAATTCCATTGTACACAACCAATTCTTCTACATTGAACAATCTCTAAAAGCATAAGCAAAATCAATTCAAATTCGAATTCAAAATATATGCAAAACTGAATATTTAATCTATACATATAAACAAAGTTTTCTTTAGACCTTTAGGATGCCATTATTTAATTCTTATTAATATTTAGGTAAATGTGAAGAGACTAACATGAATCTATATATATTTTAATTAGACTTTTGAATGTCCAATATATGCTGTTAATACTAATAAATAACAATTTACATATAAACAAAGTTTTCTTGAGACTTTTGGGATGTCATTATTTAATTGTTATTAATATTTAGGTGAATGTGAAGATACTAACGTGAATATATATATCTTTTAATTAGACTTTTAAATATCTAATATGTGCTATTAATACTAATAAATAGCAATTATAGAACTGCAACTGAAATCCTAAATGACAATCATATATTAATAGAGTTCATAAGATCCTATGTAATATCTTACGTGGAGCCCAAATGGTGATCAATAGAGAAGATGGTTTCAGGATTATATAGATATATAGATGATGAACCAAAGATTGTTTTGGGTTACGTCAGTTGTAAGAATTGTTTTCCATGTTTCGTGTATTAGGTTGATGGTCAATTATACTAATTAATTGCNAATTAAAGTTTATTAGTTAACTAGATGGAAGGCCCGCGCGTTGTGCGGATATGTTTAGCGGTTATTTTTGAAACAGTTTGTAAATAGCAAAGGGTATGTTTGTTTTTTTTTTATTTTGGATAGGATTTTTGAAAAAAGTTGAGTTGGATGATTATTACGAGGTAGAATTTAAAAATTAATAAAAACACCCATAAGTTTGTTAATTTAGCTAATCACCCCTACAATAAAAAAATTGAAAATTAACAAAAAAAACACACCCACTCACCCATTAAAAGTTGACAGCCGGCCACCACCGCCGAAGGGTGGGTGGGAGTGTTTTTGTTAATTTTTAAACCTTTTTTTTTTTTTTGTTAGGGGTGTTTTGTTAAATTAACAAACCTAAGGAGTTTAAAATAGTTAAATAAAATACAATAGGATTTTCAGAATAGGGAAATAAATGTGTATTTTAGGTAGAATTTTTGAAATCCTACCCAAAATAGAGAAACAAGCACACTGTTTATTGTAAAGTTTTAGTGATATGCTAATGCACGTGTTTGCAGGTTATTGGTCTAGCCTATTTGCAAAGGTTCTCAAATCTCATGTAGTCATGCGTTTCAATCTTCTCGATCATGTTTGATATGCCAACCCCACCTATCAACAGAAGAAAATATCAGTTTTGGGCTTTGTCTAAGTAAAATGATATCTGATTGAAAATGATATTATCAAGCCAAGCAACAGGGAGATCAGCACCAACCTAAAGATATTGCACTAACAAATATGGTAAAGGCTAAAATGAAGATGATAAGTAATGCTCTTCCCAATAAAATAATTAGTTTTCTCACAATATGCTGCCCAATTAAAGTAGCAACGATAGCCACAACAACAAAGTAGAGAGTTGCCAAAGAAAGTAAAAAATCAATTGAAATTAGATAAACCATAAATCCAACATCTATATGCAAATAACATTGTGTTCTTTGGAAATGTGTTTTTCTGATGTTTAGAAATTACAAAAGTACGAATAATTGTGCAATTTGGATGCCAATGGGTCGCTTACCCTAAGAGATAAGAAAATGTTTCAAAAGGTAATATTCTACAACTGACATGGATGAGGAGAAGGTCATAGCAACGGTGCACTTGATACCTGCATAGAAGTCATCAAAAAGATTAAAACAAAAACATAAAATAAAGATAACAATTAACCATTAGTACCTGTAAAGTTTCCTGAAACAAATACATGGGAAGCATATCTGAGTTTGCAAGGAAAAGAAAAGACTATCAGAGCAGGTCTAGAGACATAATTTATAAAATATAATGAATCCAACAACATTTTAGGCTCTTCGAAGAACTTTGAAGATGCTCAAATTTTTATGTACAACTTAGTTAGAAACAAAAAAAATAGCATTTAGGTGAAAGAACAAACCACAAACCTTCGAGCAAAATGATAGTAATCTCTTCCCACACTATAATGAGATTTCCCTTTTGTTACATCGAACATCAATCTAATTCAAAAGCACGATCAAATAAACATCAAAATACGTAATTGCTAAACCAGTTCTTATAGGTAAAATCACATATAACAGAGAATAAAAGTTAATACCCAAGAATGCCTAAGAGAATCGGTCTCAAGTCATCAATTCCGTTGTACACAACCAATTATTCTACACTGAACAATCTCTAAAAGCATAAGTAAAATCAATTCAAATTTGAATTCAAAACATATGAAAAACTGAATATTTAATCTATACATATAAACAAAGTTTTCTTGAGACCTTTGGGATGTCACTATTTAATTGTTATTAATATTTAGGTGAATGTGAAGAGGCTAACATGAATCTATATATTTTTTAATTAGACATTTGGATGCCCTATATATGCTATTAATACTAATAAATAACAATTTACATATAAACAAAGTTTTCTTGAGACCTTTGGAATGTTATTATTTAATTGTTATTAATATTTAGGTGAATGTGAAGATACTAACATGAATATATATATTTTTTAATTAGACTTTTGAATACCTAATATGTGCTATTAATACTAATAAATTGCAATTATAGAACTGCAACTGAAATCCTAAATGACAATCATATATTAATAGAGTTATGTGACATCCTACATAGAGTCTAAATGATGATCAATAGAGAGGGTGGGCTTTAGGATTATATAGATATTTCGATGATGAACCAAAGATTGTTTTGGGTTACGTCAGTTGAAAGAATTGTTTTCCATCTTTCGTGTATTAGGTTGATGGTCAATTATACTAATGAATTGCTACATCTGTCATTTTGATTTTATGGTTTAACTATAATTGGAAGGTTAATGCTTTTGAGTTATGGAACCGACATTAAAGTGAATTGACCATATATCAGAGACTTTTGTGAAGTCTTTATTGGGCTGGTCCTTGAAGTCCAAAGGGCCCAAATCTCGTTGGGCGAGCTATGCACCGAATCAGTCACCGTGTCAGATTTTTGTTTGGCATTCACAGCCTATAAAACTAACAATGACAAGAGTTAAACGGAAACTTGGAGAGATGGCGGGAGTAACAGAAACACAAAGGAGACAAGGAGGCAGGCCGATGTATCCTTCTCCAAGGGGCCCTCCACAGTCTCGACCTCGCTTCGAGCCTGTCGATCGCGAGAAGGTTCTTGCTCTTTAATAGTATTTCAATTATTTCTTTCATATGCTTTTTAGTTTTTATTTTAGGGTTTTGAAGTGTAGGGTTATTTTTAAATGTAATGTATATGTTCAATTTCTTATCTGTCTTCTGAAACTTATCATGATTAATGTTTATTTTGATTAACATCATTTGGAGTTTTAATTTTTAGAAACAGCATTCTTCTGGTACCAGTTTGGTTTTCGTTATTTATTATTATTATTTTTTAAATATTAAAGACTAAATAAGCTCTGTAAGTCAATACTCGGTTACCATTTATAAATTATTTGGGTTCGTGTTTTATATTTATGCAATGCTAATATGCCTTTTCCTTTTCCTTTTCCTTTGTAGTGCAGACTTGTCCTTTATTGCTTCGAGTTTTTACTAAGGTATGTCTATTTTTAAGATTATCAACTGTACTTTTTGGCCTCTTTGATGTCAACACGGTTTGTTGTCCTCCAAAATTCATTCTTGCATTTTAAAGGGTGGGTTATTCATTGCTCTGCACGTTCTTAGGTCTTATTCGTTGGTTGATCAATTCTTTTATTTTTTTATTTTTTTTATGTATGATATTATTTTTCTATTTTTCACTACTTAAAGGATTATTTTTGCAGTCAGCAATACATATAAACTTTGTATTAACTGGAATGGTTGATGAACCCTAGATGCCTATTTTTAGCACATGTTATTCTCCAATTTGTTGAAATTATGTGTATACTCACTTTTTTCTTTGCCTTCAGCAACAGGTTTGGAAATAAATACGGCCATTTTTGTTTTTTGTAACCATTTTTTTTTTAATTTTGTCCATGCATTGTAATTTTGAAAGTTACATTTTGACTCACCTATTGAAAGCTCTCCAGATTGGGGGTCATCATTCCAGGGAGGATTTTGCAGTGAGAGGCAAGGAGCCTAAGGATGAGGTTCAAATTTATACATGGAAGGATGCTACTCTCCGCGAGTTAACTGATCTGGTATGTTGAAACAGTGTTCTGCATTGTCCTTTCATCTTTTTCCATTTACTCGTGTCTTCTTTCATCCCTCCCTCCCTTTTTCTTGGTGTGGTGAAGGAATTGTGTTAACTTACAAACCTTCTTCAGGAGCTTGTGCATGTAGATTCTATGAGATAGAATATGAAGTGGTTGGATTTCATGAAATGAACCTTATGGCTGTTCAGATTATGGTAACTTGTTTCAGAGTTTCTATGGAGTCCATGGTTTAATATCTTTGAGATGAGAACGAAAAAGAATTTCTTTTATCTTGGTGTAGAAGCTTGTGTGCTATTTTGCTCAAATTGTGGACCTATTTGTATTGGCATTACAGTGGGAGTGTGCCCTGAGAGAACCCGTAAATCTCTATTGACATTAATACATTATCAATGCTTCATACTTTTATCACATTGAAATTGTTACTGAATATTGCAAACTTGCAAGAGATGAGTATGTTTTGGTTGCCCCCTCTTAGTGTGTGTGTGTGTATACAATTTCCTTTAACTTTTTCTTTCTAGTTATTTCTGCTGCATTAATTAACTGCACTTTTTTAACAGGTCAAAGAAGTAGCATCGGCTGCTAGAAGAAGAGATGCGAGACTGTCTTTTGCTTTTGTGTATCCTGATAAGAATGGTCGTTTTGTACTGAGAGAGGTTTGTCTCTTTCTCTATAAACCTGTTTCCTACATTTTTTCTCATTTAGGCTACTATCAATATAGGGATACAAATGAACAGAAATGTCTGTCCTTGTTTGTTTAAATTGTTGACAAGTCAAATTTCACTAAATTTTTTTAAGTTGATTGTGTTAGTTAGCATAACCTAGAAAAGAAGCTTGAGAGATTGCTAGGCTTGGTTCTGCAAAGCTCACGAGCATGGAAGTTGAGAGGGGTACTCTATTGTTCCAGGACCTTTTTAGTAGATTTTTCCTGTTTGTCAGAGTTACACCAAGTCAAAGATTATGCATGCTTGTCACCAGTTGGCTAATTTTCATGGTTTGATTAATTGGTGAAATGTTACTCTCACCTTACTATTCGTATGGATCTGTATGATGTTGGTAGTGAGGACATAGTGTATTTTGAAAGAGTATTTGATAACTTTGTAATGTTGGACTAAATTGTTATTGAAATGTGATTTATCAAATCATTGGAATGACATGAATAAAATGGGTACAAATAATGGTGTGATTTTACTTACTGGTTTGTGAAGGTGGGGAAGACCTTCTCGTATGGAAATGGAAGGCGACTAGATGATGGCAAAGCATTGGCTGAACTTGGCTTTGAGGTAAAGGAAAGCAAACTGCCTTTTTTACGTTGTCTGTCTCGATTATATTTCAGTTTTTTCTCTTAACTTCATATTCTTCGTATTCAGATTGGAGACTACTTGGATGTGGCGATTCTGTAAAAGAAGTTTTCAACCGTGACAACTCTTTTGCCGACTTTTGGTATCTTGGTTGTGGAGACTACTTGGTTGTCGTGATTGTGAAAGATTATCTTTGAAGGCCTTGTGTGCAATTTTTGCGGATCTTTGGCATTACCGTGCGCTTGAGGTGTATCATGTATGGGGTCATTAATATGTGTTGATGTTGTAGTGAGTGAAATTTTTAGAACATTAAGAAAGAAATTGGCCATGTTAGATGATTTTTATTATCAGTTTGAAAATTAAACTCTTGAGTGTAAAAATGATTTACAAAACCCTTGAGGGTTTAATTAACTAGAAAACTTGACTAAAATGTTCTTACATCATCACATCTTCACCACCATCACGATTTTTCTTAGAACCTGTATAACTCTTACCTTTACTCCATTCAACTACTGGACGCAACAGTGTTTTAAAATGAGGCCGGGTTATCAGAATCAACAGGGAGCCTTTTGTAATTTGCGCAATAGATAATTCTTGATAGCTTTGAAATTTAAATCCACTTGATAAGATTTTAATTTTGAAATGACACATAACCTGTCGTAGGCATTCACATGTTTATGGGCCAAGTATTATTAATAGATGGGCCTAAGCATCTTTGTTAGTCACGCTTGTTGGACTAGCTTGGATTGAGACTGCATTAAATTTGTATGTTTGATTATAGACTTTATCTTGTTAATTAGATGCAACTGTGAATAATTATTTGGAAATAAATAATTTTTTATATTTAAAAAATAGTAAGTGATAAATTTGATGATGAGTTCCTTGTCCTATTTCCAAAATTTGAAAAAGAAGAAACCAGCAGAAGGCATAGTGGACTTTAGAACGACGCCGTTTGTTGATTGTCGGTCATGTGATATCATTAAAGAAAGTAAAATATAGTTACATAGTATGCCAACATAGAACAAGAAAAGAATAGTTATAGGTACCGAGAGTCCGAAAGTGAAGATCGGTTGTTTCTTTCCATACCATTTTTGGTTGTTAATACATTAAAACATTAAATTGGCTCTCAATCATATTACATTCCACTGGTATCCGCATTTTTCTTCGTCTACACGCTTTCTGATGTTTTGCTGCCGATTCTTACTCTTAGTAGTGAAATTAAGCATCAATTCCTCTCAATTTCCCAAGATCTCTCAACTCAGCCACCTGTACTTCTCATCTCCACATTCTTTCAAAACATTCTCTATCTACTTTCTGTCTCTGTTTTAATTTCTTTTTTTCCTTTTACTTGATTTCAGGAGGTTTTGATAGGCAATGACGTTAAGGCGGGGATTATCCGGTACAGGTTTCCATAGGAAAAAAGGCGGTGGATCTGGATTGCCTATCGTACTTGTCATTTTCTTCTCAGTTCTAGCGCCGTTAATCTTCTTTGTCGGCCGAGGGCTTTACACTTCTACATCGTTTGGTTAGTTTAGTTCTCTTCAATTCAGTCATTAATTTCTCCATTTTTAGTTGTGTGTCCAGATCTCAATTATTTCACACTCGTACATTTTAGGTTTTCATTAGTTTTCATTAGTTTGCTTTTTTAATGTTTTTCGCTTGCTTTCTGGACCTATTGTCAACTGCCTCTTTTTATTTATTTATTTATTTTTATTTTTTTGGAAAATGCTAATTGGTACCTTGTTGCTTTCCGATTATTTGTGTGTTACTTTTTTTTTTTAGTAGCAGAGTTCAAGGTATGCAGTTTTTGCTTCTACTAGGAAAATATTGGGTGCTCGAATTGACAAGAATTACAGAAATATTGACACTTTACAAATTTATTGGATCAATATTTTCGTTTATCAGCTGACATATGCATTGAAGTTTTTCAAATTGGTTAAGGTAGAAGCTATCCTACAAACTTAGGAATGAAATGGAGTAGTAGTTTTAGAAAGGATTTTCTTGTCAAAGAAATAAACAAGTTTTAGTTAAAATATTGTCAATATAATTTCTTAAATTGTTAAAGGTGTATGCATAATCGCAATGTAATAAATTATTTTACCTAACTATTATTATACTAACGTTGCAGATACTTAGGCCACTAATGAAATAGTTTTAGTACTGTTATTCGGTCATCATGTTTTGTTACACATTTTTGCTCTACAATAGAAACTATTGTATAATTTGATGTGAAAACTGTTAATGTATACATTGTTGTGTTCTTTCCATGTTCATTTTTCTACTCTTTTGGGTTTTGTGGTTGTCTTAACTTAAACTTATTAATATTACTTTTTTCCAGATCAAAATGATACTGCAAGTGGTTCTAGCAAGCAGGTAGCATGTTCAAACATATGTACTGTTTTATGGTTATCTTTCGGATGATAGATTCTGGTTTCTCTTTTATTTCCTGCGCTAAGGGAAAGGATGAAAGAATTACTGATAAGGGAAAAGTTTTGGTTGAATGGTGCAGACTGTGCATTGGAGAGAAAGGTTGGCATTGCAATATGTTAAATCTATTTTCTCAAAAGAGGCAAGTGCAAATTGGTGAAGATTTTTTACAAGTTCTTTGTGTTCCTAATTTCTAAAATTTGTTGCAGTTTCTTGGTATCAATTTTATTAACAATGTGGCACACTAATTTAACAATTTTTTAGGTAATTGATGTTATTGAGGCCAGCACAGTCGATTTGGGCCCCATGAGTTTTGATTCTCTGAGAAAAAACAATATGTCTGCTTCATGGAGATCTGTTGGAGTAGAGACTTATGCTGAGAGTGATGCAACTACTTCTAAGGTTAGGATAACTTGGCTGTTTTGGTTTAATATAGTGCACACTTTTAATTATTGTTTGCTGCAAACTTATCACCTTGTAGTTGCTGACCCCAATGGTGTTCTGGATTGTTATTGTGTTCAAAGCCAAATCAGATAGCTTCAAATGTGAGAAGAGAAACACCCAAGGGGAAACGTGACAATGTTTTGGCTGGTAATGTCTATTGTTATGATTATGTGAATGTTACTTTTGATACTTTCTTGCCTGTTGGCTGATCTGATTGTACCTTACAGATCATTCTCAATTCATTGATACACCTGCAAAGCAATATCGACGGGTAAATGGTCTCCATATCCTGCATGTTTTAATTATCATATGATTTTTGTATCACTTAAAATGTATCTCATTGATTTGATGTGATTATGATATCAATTCAGAAAGAAAGCAATTTGATTCCATAACTTTGGTATTGATGTTGTAAGTTAATCATTCTCTGAGTTGTAAAATGTGTTTCTTTGAGACATAATGCAGCAATTGAGAGATAAAAGGCGTGAAAAGCGGGCAGCTGAGTTGTTGCGACAAGATGATGAAGCTATTGTGAAGCTGGAAAATGCAGCCATTGAACGCTCCAAATCTGTAGACTCTGCTGTCCTGGGAAAATACAGCATATGGAGGAGAGAAAATGAGAATGAGAATTCTGATTCTACTGTGCGGCTGATGCGAGATCAGATGATAATGGCAAGAGTATATTTAAGTATTGCGAAGATGAAGAACAAACTTGACTTACAGCAAGAACTACAGACACGGCTCAAGGAGAGTCAGCGTGCCGTGGGAGAGGCAACAACTGATGCAGATTTACATAACAGGTAGGTGCATTTTGGATGTTTAATGTTGACTGGATTATGTGGAGCTTGCATTTTTCTAGGTTTTTTTTTTTTTTAATTTTTTTTATTTACTTTGGTTCTGGCACTTGTTAATTTTGTTACATTCCACATGTAATGCCTGTTTAGTGCACCTGAGAAAATTAAAGCGATGGGCCAGGTTCTGTCAAAAGCAAGAGAGCAATTGTATGACTGTAAGTTGGTTACTGGAAAGCTGAGAGCTATGCTTCAAACAGCAGACGAACAAGTCAGAAGCTTAAAGAAGCAGAGCACATTTCTGAGTCAGTTAGCTGCCAAAACAATTCCAAATGGAATCCATTGCTTGTCTATGCGCCTTACCATTGAATACTATCTTCTTCCTCTGGAGAAAAGAAAATTTCCTAGAAGTGAGAATTTGGAAAACCCAAGTCTCTATCATTATGCCCTCTTCTCTGATAATGTCTTGGCTGCATCAGTTGTTGTCAACTCAACCATCATGAATGCCAAGGTGATGTGCACTGCTTGGTCTGTTATATTGTCATAAGTGCTCTCTATTCTTGAGGTTTAAAATATTGAAACACCTTTCAATTATTTATGTTTTTCTCATTTTCTTAGATTTCATTTGAGACTGAGCTCTCCAACCATTAGGCAAGTGTCATGTGCCTGCAAAGGAACTTGAGAGTTATGAGATCTTGACTAGAATATGCTTCTTGCCTTGTATTGCAGGATTCCTCAAAACATGTTTTCCACCTTGTGACAGATAAACTCAACTTTGCAGCGATGAATATGTGGTTTCTTCTCAACCCTCCTGGAAAGGCCACTATTCACGTGGAAAATGTTGATGAATTTAAGTGGCTTAACTCATCCTACTGCCCAGTTTTGCGACAGCTTGAATCTGCCGCAATGAAAGAGTATTATTTCAAGGCAGATCATCCTACCACTCTTTCTTCCGGCTCTTCAAATCTGAAGTATCGTAACCCAAAGTATCTCTCAATGCTTAACCACCTCAGGTTCTATCTCCCTCAGGTCTATCCTAAGTTGGACAAAATCCTGTTTCTTGATGATGATATTGTTGTCCAAAAAGACTTGACCAAATTGTGGTCAGTGGATCTTCATGGAAAAGTGAATGGTGCTGTAGAAACCTGTGGTGAAAGCTTTCATCGTTTCGACAAGTACCTAAACTTTACAAATCCACATATTGCAAGAAACTTTGATCCAAATGCTTGTGGGTGGGCGTACGGGATGAATATGTTTGATCTTAAGGAGTGGAAAAAGAAGGATATAACTGGCATATATCACAAGTGGCAAAATATGGTTAGTCTTTGAAATCTCTGATCTGTCATAAACAGGTTTCTTTTCTCATTCCATTTACAAAGATTATTATGCATGCTAAAATATAATTTTTATTCAACTGTGACAAGGAAGTTCTGCAACTTCTACATTAAAATTGATCTCATTAATTATCTTGGAACTGCTTCAAACTAATTCTTTTAATCACATATATCTGTAGACGTGATTTTGTACACTGATTGTTATCATTTGGCCTTGAAATTAATATTGAGACCTTGAAAGTTAAACTTTTTGGTCTCACCATGTTGAATTTAAACAGAGTACAAACGAAAGAGCAAGTACAATTTTACAACATACTGATTTCTTTTTAATGTTTCTTTTTGTCCCCCCTAATTAGAATGAAGATAGGGCACTTTGGAAGCTGGGTACATTGCCTCCGGGACTGATTACATTTTATGGTCTGACTCATCCACTTGAGAAATCAT